ATTGAAGAATGCTGGTCCTAGTGTTCTTGCACGAATCTACAACGACTCTGGTGTCATGAAAGATACCTTCTTGGAGACTATCACCTCTAAACAGCCCATTGTCGCTAGGGTTCTCAAGAGTGCTTCTGCAAATCAACTTGCAGATCTCGTACCCAGCAAAGTTCTCGACCAGGCTCTATCTGAACGATTAAAAAGTGTTCCAGCGAAAACACTCATACGATGGTTGGCTGAGGCCGATAGACTTGGTTATAGTCTTGATGACATCCTGGATGAGAATGATGAGACTGTCGTGCCAAACATGCCGAGTAGGGCGCAAAGTCATGATGGCCGTGATGATGATGAAGATACAGAAATGATAGATGAAGGACAAAAGAAAGTGGAAGCTCCGTCTTTGGATCCACTTGTTGCTGAACAGGAACGAATCAGCGCTCTGCAAAAGTCTCAAAACGATGTCCAAGCAAATCCTCCACGCGAATTGAGATGCCCTACGTGCACCTATAAGTTTGATACCATTAGAGGCCATAATTTCGTGAGTCTAGAATTGACATGATTCTACTTCAGAGCTAACAGTGATATAGCATCGACAAAAGAATATCTGCACTAGAAGTCAACCTCCAGGATTAAAGTTTTATTGTGGTAATTGTGCTCAAGGCTTCACCACCAAGCAAGGAATGCTATATGTATGTTTGATCTATGTGAATTTTGAATTTCGCTGACCTATCAAAGCATGAAAAGAAGCGTGTTTGCCTCGGGCCAGAAGGAAGTCCAGACGACGAAACCGTTTATCAAGACTACCGAGACATTGTTTCGAATTTGCCAAATCCTCAATACGGACAGCACCCTGACCACCCACAAACTACATCATTTGGCAACATTCCTCGTCCACCTCTCCACACTCCAGGATCGCGCTCTAAGCATATCGAAGCCATCATCGCTGCATCTCCCTGGGATGGAGAGGCTCGTCATTCACCATCCGAACTACCACCCGATAAACGTGCTGCTTTGGAAGATGCTCTCCAAAAAATCGAAGAAAAATACCTCGAGGATCAAAGCAAGATTCCAGAGGACTGGGCCCCCGAGCGACGAGAGGCACGGCTTATCTCTCTCAAAAATGGAAACGCATCCCGTAAATCTCAAATCCGCAAACAATTTGGTGTTACTCTTCGTATGCGCGACAGAGATAAGGAGGCCAAGAAAATACGTGAGGTTTTGGGAGCCAATTCTCCAATGTTACCCACCGGCATGAACAGAATTGAATATCGCAATTCACCAACTGTTACTGGCTATCCAGTAAATGCTGAACAGCAAGTACATCAGAATCAAACACCGGCCGGTATGAGAATGGAGATGGTGGATATGAGACCTGCTACAGGATTTTCGCCAATCAATGCTCCGCCGCAACATCAGCAGCACCAACAACATCCTCAACACCAGCAATATTCGCAAGCACCACCAGGTCACCGTCCAATGCAATACCCAGGTCCTCCTCAAGTTCAAGGTTCTCAACAAAATTTCCCACCTGTACCACAACTTTTGTCGCAGCCACGACCTGCCCCAGACCATCGAATGAGCCCACTTGGGTATCACGGAGCTCCGGAACAAGCATACAGAGGATCAGAAGATCATGCAAACAAAAGACTCAAGCGTAATTCAAGTGCAGGAGTGTCAAGAGCAGATGAAGAGAGAAGTAGACATTTTGCACCCGCTGATTCGGCTCCCATGGGTATGAATGAGAGAAGGGTTTCTGGGGGAAGAACTCAAGCTTATAATGGTTCCGGAGTGCTCGGCATGGAAAAACAAAGATCTGGTTCTGCAGGTGCAAATGGTGCTATGATGGAAGGTGAGAGTAGACCAAATTCTGCAGGCTCAAGTAGTGTGCGAAAGAGAGTACCCGTTGGGGCGTTGCAGAGGCAATGGGAAGCGTTGAATGGGAAGGGGACGAGTAGGAAGACGGAGCTTGAGAATAGGGCGGGGAATGTATTGATGAGTAGTGTGGAGGGGGGTGAGAGAGCAAATGGACGGGCCGAAAATGGAAATGTGGTGGTGGGTGGGAAAGATAAAGAGCCAATGCATGAGGGTGGTAGAAGTGTGGTCGATTTGGTTAGTGATGATAGTTCGAGCGAGCGTGAAACTGGGGGACCGAGTGGAGGTGAAAAATAAATTCCTGGGTGCGGTGAGAGAGAGGAGATTAGATTTTTTTCGATGGAAGCATGGATTCTCATTCTTTTCGTTCGTGGCCACGCGACTTATTTGTCATTCTTTTTATACCTACTTAGTACCTACCTACCGGCCTACTTTTGTCAAACAAGCAATTCTTTTTTTCCTCGCTTGGAGATGAAGAAAGCTAGAGAACCAGCGAAATGGGGATTTATGGGAATCTATGTTGGAGAAATGATAGATGGGGTGTTATAGTAAGAAATGTATTGTAGTCTGAATACCTTGATTTGCTTTATTTTTCAGTGTTTTTTTTTCTTCTTTTCTTTTTCTCAAAATGATTTCGATGCGATAAGGTTACGAAAAGATATTTGAAGATGATGATGATGACTTACTCGAGTACTTTGATTTCCACACCACAATCGTAGCGGTAGAACTTGCAAGTCGTATCTAAATACGAGGTACGGAGTTAAATTCATAAGATACATGCTGATTGCTTAGTTAGTACGTTCTTCATGTTACAGTGCAATTACTGGATACTCGAGGATTGATTGATATTCGGTATGGCTGGAATTTGGAGTCGTGATTTGAGGGATGGATAGGTGGTGGATAATTGCCACTTCGAATAGCCATTCAATCAATCATTCGTTCAATTAAGCTTCACCAAGGAAACATGAGCCTGGAGCCTGGGAAATAAGACAAGAAAAAGAGGGGGAAAAGGAGAACTAAAGGGTTGGATGAAGATGTGTTTTTGGTACGGGGAAGCTGGAGGTTGGTTGTTTAATGGATGGGTAGGTAGGAGGTAGGTTGAAGGTAGTAATAAGGAATATGAGATGATAGGAAGTAAATGAGAATAAATGAACTAGATTTATGTGTAAACACCTCGATTTATATCTTCATTCAGTTATAGATTGTAGTACTGGAGATTGGAGACTGAAAGGGCGTGATGGGATGTAATGAGGTGAAATTGGTTGGATTATTTCGAATAGGAAGGAACAAATGATATCCAATAAGAAAAGAAAGAAAAATGAAGCTTATAACGTAGTTCTTCAGCATATAGACTATGTTACTACATAAGTCACTTTAAAAACACATCAAGATTAAGGGTTTTTAATAATCAGATTTTAAAAACTAATAATTATCTTAAGAAAATTTGTATTAATAATAATAAAATAGTAAGATTTCAAAAATCTATTTTAAAGTTCGATATTCAGAATATATTTATTTAAAAAAAACATTTTATTATAGTTTTTTATAAAAAAGTCATTTCCTTAATAACTATTAATTCGAATTTGCAAAAAGAACTAAATTTTTATAATATTAATATTAAGAAAGTATATAGTTATATACAAACGAATTCTATATGTAAAAAAACTAGCTCATGTAATAATATGACTTATATACTATTGAATTATGTTATCTAATCAATCATCTATTAAGGTTGGTTATCTATCATCTATTATCTATCATCTATCAGCTATTATCTATTATCTATTATCTATTATCTATCATCTATCAGCTATTTTCTACTATCTATTATCTACTATCCATAATTCATCTAATCAGATCAGATCATCACCCCTCATCACCCCTCATTCTCCATTCTTTCTTCATTCTTTCTTCATCAACCACGATATACCCCGCATACATACCTACCCACTGCTACCCGAGCTACCCACAACCGCGTCCCTAGCACACCATAATCTCACTACTTACCAACTCATATAAAAGATACCTCCCTCCCTTCCCTCCCCATCCCAGTACCATCCCAGCACCATCCTACCTACAAGCCTACAAGCCTACAAGCCTACCTTCCACTGCCGGTGTGCCAAGCGCTTGCTCACCCGGCTAAATGCACTTCAAGAAATGTACCTTCCCAAACAGGCAAGTATTGTGAGTATGGATGATAGCGAGGTCTTAGTATTTCTTGGGGATTGTGGATGAGTGGTTTTGAAAGGTAGGTAAGAGATAGCCAAGAGGTTTGGAGAAGGGGCCAAGAGATAAAGAATTTGGGGGTTTTTGGGTGCTGGGTTGGGTGCGGGAAATTGGGAAGTGGTAGAAGGGTAGGGGGTAGGGTTTGAAGGGGAGATTGGGAGGGATGCGAGAGTGAAAGTGGATGGGTGGGTTTGTGGTTGATTGAGTGGTGGGATGTTGAGGGGAGGAGGGGATGAGAAGAGAGAGGATAGAGGAGAGACTTGGGAAATGCATGTGATGGTGTGGTTTTGGATGAAATTGGGATGGAATGGTAGTTGAGATAATGGTAACAGGGCTTGTTTTCTGGCTCATTAGACGGGAGATAAACTGGGTCGAGTATTAATTGGATTCTGGATTGTAGTCTATAGAAGAGAGAGGCAGAGATGTAAGTATATCCAAGAATAGCAAACCAGCTGTTTTAATCCCTTCCTATAGATAGCCATATTATGAGTATCTTCATCCCCGCATCTACCATTCTATAGGCTGGAGCTTACGCGCTCTTCACAAGGCTACATCGGGAGTTGAGCATGGAGATCTAATGTATCCCGTCGCCTTCTTCTTTGGGGTGGTACGATGTGGCACTGAATTGAACTACGATATCAATCTCCTCCTCGCCGAGCTAACCCACCCCATGAATTAAGAAGGAGATAAGCTGTCTTCTTCATCTGATACCATGAAGCTATTGAGAAGCACAAAAAAGGAAAGTGATAATTCTGAAATCTTTGGATTTTGAGGATCCACAAATCGAGCTGCTCATGAATATAAATCTGAAGCCATCACCACATTCTCAACCTCATCAGCACTTCCAATCCACTCCTCCATCTTCAGTATCCTCCTGACACTGTACCATTCTGTACCACCGTACCTTCGCAATGGCACCAATTCTCAACTTCGCGCTCGCTCTTGCGATGCCTATCCTTTCATTGGCTGCTGCCCTTCCAACCGGAGCTGATCTCGAAAACCGTGCTACTACTCTTGGGGGAACTCCAGATATTGTCGGAGGAACCACCGCTGCTCTTGGTGAATTCCCCTACATTGTCAGCTTGTCCTCCAGTGGTTCTCACTTCTGTGGTGGTGTCTTGCTCAACGCCTACACCGTCCTTACTGCAGCCCATTGCTCTGTCAGCTACTCAGCTTCCTCAGTCAAAGTCCGTGCTGGAACTTTGGTACGTTCCCATCTTTCATCTATACTTTGTCAAACGCAGAAATCAAGCGAGAATCTATCCCGATTACTCCAATCCTCCAACTTTCGTACTTCAAGGTACATGTAAACTGACTTTTGTATAGACCTGGGCGTCTGGCGGAACTCAAGTTGGTGTCAGCAAGGTTGTAGTCCACCCGTCCTACAATTCATCTACCACCAACAACGACATTGCACTCTGGCATTTGTCGACTGCTCTTCCAGCCAGCTCCATCATCGGCTACGCCAAGTTGCCCGTTCAAGGTTCCGATCCCGTCGTTGGATCTACCACCACCGTTGCAGGATGGTAAGTGTTTCCGAAGCTTCAGCAAAGTTTGCCTGGGGGAAGAGCGCTGATATGTAAATAGGGGTCTTTTGACTGAGAACGGATCTACATTGCCATCGACTTTGAGAAAGGTCTCGGTTCCAGTTATCTCCCGTGCTTCTTGCCAAGCTGAGTATGGTACATCTGCCGTTACCACCAACATGTGGTGTGCAGGGTATGCTGCAGGTGGCAAAGATTCCTGCTCTGGCGACTCCGGTGGACCAATCATCGATGCTGCCACTGGTGTCTTGGAGGGTACTGTCTCCTGGGGTCAAGGTTGTGCTGAGGCTGGTTACGCTGGTGTCTACGCCAGAGTTGGTAACTATGTTACTTACATCAACTCCAACCTCTGAACTAGTTTGTAAATATGGAGAATGAAATATAGTGGAAGGTTGGGAGTGGGGATATGTGCGGGCAAAAGTTGGTAGCAAGGCAGGTAGAATAGGAGTTGGTGGTGATGCAGCTATAGTATGATGAGTTAGGCTTAGTCTAAGGGATTTAATTGTGCTCTTCCAATTTTACATACTTTTAGTGAGGATCGGCCACCCTGTGATCATGATTGAAGTTTGTATGATGCCGAACGACCCTTACAACACAACTTCGATGTTTCAAGAGGCAATGGATATTAGTTCCAATCCTTGTTTACAACAAAGTCCAAATATGAGGCTCTTGTGGTATTGCGGTTTGCAATCCATCAATATTCAAGCAGAATGATTGTGTAACTATATATTATCAGCAAAGATGTAAAAAACAATAATACAGTCGTGGGAATATCTCACCAGTGACTCCTCGCTCTCATAATCCGTTTGCGACTCTTCGTAGGATTTATATCGATACTGTAATCGGCCTCGAGAAATCCAATCTATGCCAATGACAAAAGCTAAGATACAGTAAATGACACTGATGTAATTCATATCTATGATTATGAGCTCGAATCATCAGAACGCTATCATGAATACTTACTGGACGCGGTCACCGGGAGATGTATTGGAAATGAGAACCTGCAAGATAGAATGTCAACATTTTCCATCTAAGATGGCATGAATGACTTACATAACGAGTGCAAAAATTGTCCAAATAATTGTCACCAGGTTGGCGAAATAACCAAATTTACCAAGCCAGAAGGGACCATGTGAGATTTGATCGCGACCCTTATGAAGCAAACATATAAGAGGAATGCTGTAAGATATATACGGGAGGACAATACAACCAATGATCATGCTGTGGAACGTGTTAGAACTGAGCACTACTTATGCACGGGATCGTATAGAACTCGCCTATTGAAAGCAGTTGTTGATAGTAAATATAGACATCCAAGTATAGCAACGACTGTCGCGCTCATGGCATGTGCTCGAAACGGGACATCTAAAGTAACATTAATCCTGGCTAGAGATTGGTGAAATGGGACACCTCCATCTCGAGCAAAAGTCCAGCAAAGTCGCGATTGCAAAGTATGACATGCAATGAGACAACCAATTCCAGTTGCCATGATCAGAGACTCGAGGACAATTGCAGCGGGTCGATTTCCGACCGCTTGATAGAACAATTCCAGAATCGGTACTTTTGTGAGAGTTCCGACAACAGCATCGAAGTTATTGAGACTGAGGAACATCGCAATAACGAAGAACCACGCAGTCGTGAATCCAATCGCAATGGTAGCCATGATCGAGATTGGGATTACTACTTCTGGCTGATGAGCTTCTTCTGCGAGGTGTACAGCACTATCAAGGCAAGAAAATGCCCAATTTGCGTTTACCAGGCCGACGATGAAAGCAATACCATTGTTTGACCAACCCGTATTGTTAATGAACGTTGCGAAGGCAAATTTAATGTCTTGATGCGTTGGGGCTTGTGATGGTACAAAAAAAAGAATAATTCCAAAGGAAATCAAAGACATATAAAGAGTAACGGTCCCAAGTGTCGGCAAAATTCTACCGTAACAATTGAATAGAAAGGTAAATAGATTGACTACTTGGTATGCAATAAAAATGTGCAATTCATGAATGATACTATCAATGAGTTAGTCTATAACTGTGACCTGAAGACGAACTGTATTTGGAGAACTCACAAACCCGGGTGATTCAATTGCCAACATCCAACTGCTGCTGATGCAACTGCCAATGATACACTGGCTGATGCAAATAGGGACCCAGCCCATGCACAGTATCCAGTCACAAATGACAAAGGCCTAGCATATCTCTTGGGAGCTAGTTCCATAACCCAAAAATGCTGTCCTGCAGCATTTGGCATTGCACTTGCCAATTCTGATAACGAGCATCCTACAAAGACACTCACAGATGCAACAAGAGGTATCCCATAAACAAACAGGGCAGGGCCGCCAGAATCGATGCCTGTGATTAAGGCACTTGAAATTCCGAACCATGAGTTTGTGAGAGAAAACCCTTCTCCAAGTATTGACCAGAGAGTGAATTTTCGGCGCATGTCGTGATGATCACCGTCATCTTGACTCGTTGTTGCGTTGGGGATAATATCCGATTCGTAGATGGTGACATTGGACGACGAAATATCGTCAAGCTTTGGGACATTCATAGTCTCGGTTTGGAATGGAGTGTTCGTCCGACAGATATCAGGGTTTGTATAGAAAGTGATGTCACGAGGCTTTACAATAGTGAGTTCTCTTAGGTTTGTCACCAACCTGAGCTCTCTGATATAGTGGTATCGCGTGTGTAATCCTAAGACCGATAATCTCCGAGAAATAGAGTTTTGGAAAGTACTCTAATTAGCATCCCTTGGATGTGAGATTGCCGATGAATGTTGAGCCCAGAGAGACGAATAGTTTATACTTCAGAGAGAACTTGACATCTTTTTGGGCTGCTTTGTATGGAATGTCCTATTGTGGCAGTTTATTCCATTAATCACCCACTTTTGACTGGAAGATGAGTGTGAGGATGCGCTAAAGATAAAAAGTTTAAACCTCAAAACCTTATCAAGAACATTGCTTCGACATGGAATTACATAATATTAGGGGTACGGGACCGTAGAGTTAGAGTTTGTATATGTAGGGATAAGACATGGGGCAACACGACAAGAACGTTTCATCCAAACTTCGCTCGTATTGAAGTTGTCCGAGGGTTCTCCATTGGCCGGAGGATTATGTTATGCACGTGAAACATTTTGGCTAGCCTCATTCCATCCTGGGATAAATAAGACATATAATCTCCACGGACAACTTGTCGATAGAAATGATGGAATGGTTGCGGAAGAGAGGAAGGTTGTAGAATCTCCAACGATAACAAAGTATCGCAAGAGAGAATATCGAATGACAGCCAGCGACACATGATATCGATTTTACCAGCTGAACCTGTTAGATTCGAAGCTGATGAAGAGAGCATCCGAGACTGTATCATACAAGTACCACGTTTTCACAGTATTGGCGAGAAGAAATTCTGATATCAGATTGTCAACGAAGAGGTGGACGTCTTTGATCAATCATTAATTCTTGTCTGATTGCAACAAATGTGTCCTGTGATCATCTGTGAGACTGTCAGTGTGAAGCGAAGCTTTTCTGGAAGCCTTGGGAAGTGAGTACAAGATCTAAGGAGGGGGTTCACAGAACTAAGGTACTCCCTCAATACGGATAAAAGTAGACATAAGCCGATATTTATGATGAAAATAAAGAAGCGGATTTCGTGGGTGTTGAAGAATACTGATAGATGGGAATGATTCTGTCAGATTTCTTAAGATGTCAAAAACACTACTAGTATTTTCAAGGGTGTGAATTTAGACGCGTCTGCACGACCATTTTCTGCGTAGAAGGTGTGTTTTTAGTACGAAAAATACTAAATTCATTGTGATCCAAAGCAAATGTTGCTCCTTTGTTTGATTTTCGACACTTATCTAAACATGCAACGAGTAGGTAAAAAATAGCAGAGCTATCTCATTCATCTATCATTAATTGCAAATACCAAAATTACAGCAAAAGAGTTACTGCACTTAAAAAGAGCAAAAGTGAAAGCCAAAACGACACCTGAGTGATTCGAACACTCGCTCCCGAGGGAAATGCCTGACTTTGTTATAGTACAATAGCAGGGCATCGCGTTAACCACTCCGCCAAAGTGCCAACTTTAATGACGAACAATGTGTTAAGAAATTATAGATACCACGTTTCTGCGCGTGGAAAGTAAATGGGTTGGTGGGGCTGTGGGGTAACATCCACACATTTCTGATATACATGTCGAATGAAATACTTCAGGAACCGTACCTTGTATTGGTAAGGAAAAGGTTGAACATTCAAAAGCTTTCGATTCTCTTTCACCGAAAACTGCATGACCAAGAAATGATGAAGGGCTATTTCCCAACGACAGCCTCCTTACAGCATTGCTCCACATTTGCGGGAACGAAAAATAGTTCACAAGCAACATCACTCTAGGTCTTCTCTCTCATCCAACCTGGGGAAATGTCTCCCATTGTAGTTGTACCTCTATCAAAAAAGTGGCTACCTCATAATCAAGACTTGCTTCGTTGAAGTCATTGATGCCCAGGAGATCGTGGAATTACGCATTGAAGACCAAGAATCAGACAGTGCCCAATACCCAAGGAGCGAATTCAAGGAGACTAGAAGTCCAGAATAAATATGAACACCACTTCTGCAGTTACAGCGAAGCTTTTCATGAGAATGAGAACAACTATGAGGAACGCCAGTTTGGTGAAACAGCGATCGAGAGCTTTTTACTTGAAGACCCTACGCAGGCCTGTCAAGACAACACAGATTCATACTTGGGAACTTACTAAGAGTAAATCTCTAGATATATCAGTCATAAGAGCGGTCATTTCAACACCCGCAAGACTGAGGAGGACTCTTACATCTAGTCTATCCAAGAAGACAGCACCTATAATATAGCTATTAGTCATGGCCAACCTTCCATGTCTATATACAAACTAAGCATTGCTACGGTCAAGCCAATAAGTATGAGGAACCTTTCAAGGACTTAACTCATACCGAAGCACCAATAACCAGTATCGCAATGATAGATAAGAACGACCTCCAGAAATCCCCTGTGAGTAAGATACTGACTGAGGCTTCTAAATGAGATACTGAGATTTCCTTCAGTAGGTACTAAGACTATGTATTCTGTTCTCAAGTGCACAGGTATCGCATATGCACATAGGGAGATAGTCTTTTTGAAGTCTGCAAACAAGAATCTCCATCTATGAACACTGCAATTTCTTCCAGTCATTGTATAATCAAAAGAAGAGAAAGAAGAACTGCACGTATCTCATATTCAGATCTTCCTCTACAAACCTTCACATTAGTTGTTTGTTTGGCTGCCACAGAACTCAAGGCTAGATTTCTACTTCATATTGGAAGAATCAGTCTTTCACTTTCCATGTTGGCCCAAAAGAAGTCTTCATTCATATAGCTTCCCAGTTGTGATCTTCAGGTATGAGATTTTGTATATGTAGGCTGAACAAATGCCAACCATTATTGTGGCCAAGTAAGAAACAACCTTGAACATATCAGAAGATAAACCCTATACAGCATGTCAATACTATGCTTTAAAGGTTTCTGTATGTTAGAAAAGATAGAGAAGGTGATTTTAGAGCCGATTATCCGAGTTCATCTTTAGCATAGAATGATTGCTTTAGCAGATTCAACTTTGTTATCTATGGGTTCAAATAGAATTATTGACTCAAAGAATTGAATATCCCTTTGGTTTTTTGTAGAATTTGCACATTGAAAGATTTAAAAGTGAATTCGAAGTCGGAAAGATGGGAGGTTCTTAGCCGAAGACGTCGCACTCGACCATCTTAACAACAAATACCTCCGACTTGATTCTTACCATAGTCGATATTTAATTTCTTGATGTGTTTTCACATTATAGGACTTGACTACAGCGATATTCAACGGTCCCAGTTTGAACTATGGAACAAGATTGAGTCCGACCAGAATTGCCCAGGTGTATTCCAAGTTTCTGGAAAGAAATCCTCAACAAAAAGCACCATCAAATCTTCCACCTTTCAAATTCGTCAAAGAAAAGCACGAAATATCCACTCTGCGCTTCAACCAGGAATAGCGCGGTGTTAGGGTTCCAAGCTACCTCTTCTTTATTACCAACTATTTAAACACCTTACCAAGACCAGTACTCCACTCTGAAACAAGAGGGATGGCTTCCTCTTCCTCTTCCTCTTCCTCTTTTTCTCCCGACCAAATCCTCACGGCCGGCATCTCCAAACTCTCTCTCCAAGCCTACCACCCACAACAACCCACAATTGCAACCGTGGATCTCGTCCCATCAACCACACCAAACACCTCGCCTCCAAACCCAATCCAAAACACTCACTACACCATAGCCGATCCCCTCACCTTCACCACTTTTCTCGACCAACACCTCTACATACCCCCAATCATCACGCACCTAACCCTCGCTCCCTCTCCCCACCTGGGCCGCATCACCTCTCTCCCCCGTCTCAACGACACCCTCGGCGATTCCCTCGGCGACGCCACCACCTTCGCTGAGCTCCACTCCTGGGTAACTCTCCTGCAGCGTCTCTCCCACTCTACCCCCTCTCTCCGCTCTCTCACCATCATTTTCGACGCCGACATGAGCGGACGCGATACCCATGGCTATCGAAGAGGTGTAGGTGAATGTCTCGGATTTATATGGGCGATCGCCAGGTTTCGCGGATTGGAATGGGTGGATCTGCAGGGTTATTTTCCGGCGCAGTGGCCGTGGTACTTGAGGGGCGTGTGGAATGCGTGTGGACAAGCGACGAGGATTTATAATAGGGTGGAGGCGCCGGAGTGGGAGTTGAGGCTTTGGAGGAGGGGAACCGAGAGGTTGGATCCGAGGGGGTTTGGGTGGGAGTAAGTGGGGAGGCTGAATGGATGGATGGAGATGGATGGATGGAGAGGAATGTGGTGGTGTTAGGGAGAGAAATGATTGCTTCGATTGTGACTTTCGGATTTGTGGGCTGATTCGGCTTAATGTGGTTTAAAATGTCATTCAGGACGGATGACGGCTGTTCTCCACTCATATGTGCGCATATCTTTGCAACGCGGAATGTAAAGTTTATAATCAACGGACGAGGTGAATGCATAGCACAGTAATTAATAATAAGAGATTTTGCTACTTTGTCAAGCGAAGTGTGTAGATCTGATGAATATATGACCTGCATATTCCTCGCATTTGTTCTACTAAAGTGCCTAGTCAGCAGCTTTTGCGTAGCCATCCCAGCAGCCGACCCTGTGACCCAGAATGAACAGAACTCTAAGATTTTCTCCTTATTATGCGAAGTCGAAGACATCCTACTATTTTTTGAAATCTGAATGAGGAATTGAGTGAGGATTAGAAGTTTCCACTGCAATACCCAGAGCGCCGTAGCTAGTATGTCTATTTGCCTCATATTTCATCTCTCAAGGCCATTTCCCTGTCCGTCTCCCCTCGTCCACTTTCTCTCTTTTCAACTATCCCTTCATCCCAGCTATCCAATTACATCAAGTCCATTTGCTACCAGCTATCGTGTTAGACTGTCACATTGATTTCCACCAGTGTAGACTCCATGAGTGAAGCATACTAATAAATTACTCAACCAGCGAGTTTTATAAATCAAGCAGGGCTGATTGGCCCTCCAGCAAAGAATTAAATAGTTCTTCATCAGAAAGTTTGTGCCATTTATCGTCTCCAACGCGAAGATATCGGACATTACCAATTTCGCGCAAGAATCTGAAGAAATCTGATACGGGCCCAAATTCAGCTGTAAATTCAGGCATCGTGCCGGCTCCAGGAGTGTTGGTATGTATCGTGTCCATTGTTTCATGGATGGCCAGTATAGATTTACATAAGGAGGTGTAATCAATGACAAGATGCTGTATCGAGTTAGAAAAACGCCATGCCCCGCCTTGCAATTCGTGCATTTCATGAAATTCGTTCGAGCTTCGATCTACTTGACGGGTTTCTAAGGATTGTTCGCGTTGTTTAAAGAGGTAGTAAATGTATTTCGCTTGCCGTGCTATCCAAAAGCGCTTTCTGACATGACGAAATTTCGGATGATATGTCCAGAGTTCTCTAGCAGAGCTCTGAGCAAGATGTTCATCCAGCGGTACACCCATTCCAAATGTTGGGGTCATTTGGCCAGCGAGAAAGTAAAAATTCCATATGTGAATGATGTCTCTTTTCGGATCGAAACGAAAAATTCCGATATCACTAAATGGCATGTAGAGGATAGGAAGAGTTCCACAAAGTTTCTTTAGTGCAAGTGAACGAGAGAAGCGATTGATTCGCGTTAAGGTACGAGCTCCAGTCATCTTAACCTTGAACACATAATCTGAACTGTCTTTACTGTGATCATAATGATACATACTCTCAATCAGGCTTGGCTCTATATAATAATGTAGCTCCTCCTCGTCGCTTTCAATGACATGTGTCCACAAGAGTTCGATAATAGCTTGTGGAACTCCATAAAACTCCTTGGAAGCCGATATGACAGGAACATTGTCTTTCCAATGGTCCATCCAGGTCCTTGGTCCATAGAGTACTTTTTCTCTCTTCGCAAGTGTCCTGATCTTTGATAACAATTTTGAGGATTTGACCTTCGAGACTATTTCCTTTGGTTTGATGTTGTATTTCGACTCGCTTTTCTTTGGGGAAAGGTTAAGTTTCGAGCTGTGCACTTTGTATGTGTCTTTGAAGGGACCCATTTTTAGGCATATGAAGAAGGTATTTGAGATAGTTGTTAGATGAGAAGTATTAAGATTAGAAAGAAAGTTTTCTATGAGAACTATGGAAGAGAGATGTGAAGAGAGATACAAAAGAGAAATATAGAAAAAAAGAATGAGAAATTATTAGAAATTAGTATGTATAAATGTGACGAGAAGAAAAGTATAAAAGTATGAAGAAGGCATAAGTTATATAAAATCTTGAGATATATAAAGTCAAGAAGAATTAGATGAAGAATTGAAAATTTATCTGTGTGGGAGATTTAAATAGTGTATATAGTGCTAGCACTACTAGATTAGGTTGTCTGATATCGTCATCGAGAGGTTTAGTCTATTACCCATTTCGTGAAAATGACTAAGCAGTGTCACGCTTTAATGGGATTTTATATGCTTCGGTGCGTGGGTCTAGTGATCTTTGTCGTTTTTGGGTGGACTACCTATTAGATGGTATGACATATTGAGATAATGAAATGGTGAAGTGATAGATATGACTACCCAGATACCTAGGCATTCTTTACCTACCTACCTACTATGAGATCCATTTTCAGTTGAAACTTACTTCAGCTGCCAATAAACACGTATCATGCCAGTGATTTACCAAGCATTGAAATTATTGAAAGCGCCGTAAGTTTCTTCGAGCGTCTCTTTTGATAACATCTTCTTCAAAATTCGTCTAGTTGTAATGGAAGATTAGTGACAAAGAAGCGCGCATTCACATCACTGTACTGTCACCCAGCTGCCCAAGGTAAAAACCATAACACGGCATGCTAGCTCTTTGCTCCGATAACCGGTCATCGTTCGTTGCAAGTTGAGGAAATTGGCCAGAGATTCAAGGTTCCATCTGAGTAAAGAGGAGAATACTTCTGGAACAACTAGACTATCCGGATCATTCAGTCCTCTAAGATGCCATTTCTCTGTTGTATTAAGCTGAACAGCGGTTAAAGAACGCAGGTTGGGACAGGCAAAGATCAGTCTGCTCAAGAAACTAATGTTATGAGCTACCGCAAGCTCTTGTATTCTTTCACCGCGACTACACACATCAGCTGTAATGTTAAAGAAGGAGAATAAGTTTAGGGGAACAGCAAGGTACCGAATCTCACTGAAACATGCTGGAATTTTCCCTCTGTAGCATATCCTAATGCTACTACGATCTGGCTGTTCCATCCTGAGAATGACAGTCGTGTCTTGGTGAATACATACTGGGATGTTCTTGTCGAGAGATGGTAGAACTACTGGCAGATGGTGTAGATAAATTTTACGAATTGCCCTTGAGACAAACAAAAACGATGTATGTTTCCGGTCAATCTCCTCTTTAAGTAGTATTTGATTATTGAGATCCAGGCTGACTGAGAACAGACGAATATGATTGCGTTTCGGGATACATCCTTTAATTATCATGCATTGAATCTCTGCGGGCAACTTGTAGAAATTAATCGAATTGGTGGGACCTAAACCCATGTTTCTAGCACCACACGGTGGCCCTTGGGGTTCCCGAACCGCATTAGAAGTTGAGTATAAAGCATTTTCAGTCTTATCCCCTGCTTCTAGATTTTTTTCTGCATACGAAACTTGTACACGACTGGCAATACTTGGAGAAGCGGATAGTGATGCGTTGTCGGATCTGGGTTCGGCTTCAGACTTTGTAGATGGTCTTTGTACTCCTGATGTTGTGGAAGAAACTTGTTCAGCGGCTAGCTTCGTAGAGGGCTCCATCTTTTCAATTGAGTCTTCTCGCGGTGTAATAATTGACTGTTTGGCTTCATGGTGGGAGTATTCGATGTTGGTGCCTATGATTGTCATTAGTGGTTGAATCGCAGACGTTATCAGAAATAACGCTTACCATCATGCTCCATTCTGTGACTGACCTTTTTGACAGGATTTATACTATGGAGAACATTAAGTATGGCGTCGGAATCAGAAATGTAGAAAACAGTCGAGTTTTAAATATCTAGTAATAATTATCACTATGTTCGTGTCCAATGACATACCCAAGAGTTGTACCCAATACTAAAGAAGCTACCTAAGGAAGGATATCTCACTCACCCGGATGGAAAGGGCGGTGCAACAGAATACTAAAATCTAATGAGTTACCGACACCTCTTGGTTTAATAGAATATGAAATTATTGAGAGCCAGACCAAACTAATCGGGTAACCAAGAAGTCTAATAATCTTGATCATATAATTGATTTAGGAAAACGATTGCTTGATTTGATCTAGAATATAGGAGAGGGCTCTGCACAACCGAAATAAAGGGCGGGAATTGAGTCCTCTTTCAAAGAACTACTTAATTAAATTAGAAATTCATTTCAAGTCAAATACTAAAATCTGAAAAGATAAAACGAAAATTTGGGTCTTCTCTATGTAAATAGTAAGGACTGGATGCATCTAATACGCTATTGAAGAGAGATTCAAATCATCGAATTCCTTCTGAATGGTATTCAATTTCCGCATCTTATTTCGGTTACGCAGAGAGAGAGAGGTAGCTATATAGCACGTGCCTAAAAGGTTACAAAGCTGCGCGGGCAGGCTTCTGATTGGTCTTTGCTTTCCGAGCTGGTAGCTCCAAGAATTGCTGACTAATAGCTATTCATTGTCACTGTTATATCTACTTACGTGCCCACCAACCTACCTTTATAAAGTTACAACCACCCGATTCAATAACACTTATTCATATAATTGACTGAACGCATCAACCTCCCAAGAGACTTGACTCTATCTAGGCAGTGTACTGAATAATAATAAATCATGGTTTTAACCAGAAAAATGGCAAAAGAGGCTCGCGCAGCTGTTCAACCACCTGCGACTTTCCATTCATTTTCCCTTCTTCCAATCGAATTGAGGACCATGGTCTGGCACGCTGCTGAAGACTCGCAGCCCGGTCGCCTCATCGAAGTTTACAACATACCAAACCATTACACCATTAATGGTCGCCCCACTTCTTTCGAATGGCATGGGATATTTTGCGGTTGCGAAAAGAGATGTTTCGAGCCTCCCCTTGCGCGAGTAAACCATGAATCCAGAAATATTGCCTTGCAAAGGAGATCGAGATGTTTTGGACAGTGGGTGGACTGGGACAAAGATATGATATTCATTGGCAGTAGAGTCGGACATTTGCACAATACTGGGTTTCTCCACGCATTGGAAGTACAGAATTGTCGCGAGAAGTTGAAATATCTTGCCATCGATTTTGATTGCTGGGAGAACTCATCTGTCTTTCCCTGCGCACTGAAGGCGGAATGTACCCCGGCTGCGATGATTTCACGATTACCGGGACTCCAAAAAGTGGTGCTTGCTCAAGCTTCGGGTGCTTGGCGGGATGGCAATGAGTTCGAGGCACATGATCCTGGCCACTACCACAATATTTGGAGAAGCTTTGACGGGGCCGAGGCTTTTATGAAAGAAGATTTCAATGATCTTGTGAGATCTGAGAAGGAGAAACACACTGAGTGGATATTACAAAGTTACCACAAAGGAATTGATGTCCGGAAAGCTTTGCCTGAGAAGGTTGACAAGTGGAGATGTTATGACGATAGTCATGAGGAGATTGGCGAAAATCCAGGATCATACAAACCTGAATATGTTGATGAGTATAATTACCACTATGGTGGAAGTTGTGGAACTGCATTAATACAATTTGAGAAGATCGAAAATGCCTACTGGTGGGGCACGGGCGATGACCAAAACGATTACCACTTTTTAAGGGATTGGATTCAAAAGAACTTTGATAAACTGAAGTCAATTTCTGGGAAGAAATTTCACGGAGATCCTGATTATATTACGTGGAAGCAACCTGAAATCGATTATGCATTGATACGAAGAACCGCCCCTTCTTGTTTCACTGACGATTGGGAAGGTCTTGAGCGAGAATGGATGTATTATGGAGAGGCAGCCTGGGCGAGGGACTACCCTAAAAGCTACAAAGCTCGAGATAAATCTAAAGACTATCCAGCAGGCCAACATGTGCAAAAGTATACAAAGCTTTATCCGGCGTCTCAAAAGTGGCGTCTCGATGGTTAGAAGTCGTCAGTAGCGATAGTTATTTCCAACCCGTGGTGTTCAAAAGTCCGGACTGGAAGATTGCAGTTCAGCGCTCAATGTTTGGAACAATACAGCACTGACAGACGATTAAGATTAAATCCTCGGAATGATCTGGATCTTTTATTTTTTCGGGATTGAAAGCTTTAATTGTTGGCTTGCAGCCTGGATTTTTGGAATTCTTGTCCTCAACGATATCTTTGATATGAATGGCGATACGAATGTCTTCAATATAACCTCAAAATTTTGCAACAGATAAATACTACCACCAAAGTGAACGTACTTCAGATATCTACGGCTGGGAATTACAAAACCTTGGTGTTGCGACAGCAAGTAGTGAGACCAGCTGCCCGACTATGCTTTGTCGACATGTACATATTGGGCAGAAGTGAGTGCGGAAACTCATAAATCTCTTCCCAACTTACAAATAACACAACTGACAACGAATCGCCCACTCGAGCCATGAGATGTGTAGAAGATAATCTCAAAATACTGGTGCTTCACATTTCGCTTGGTTTCGTCTGTCCGTATAGTTCTGATAGATGGAGATAGTCAAGGTGCATTTAACTGTTCAATATGGATGATACCAATCTAGGTACAATCGAATGGAGAGATTTAAGTGGATGGTTAGAATAAAACACAACCCCCAATCATATCTCCCGCTAATTACTTAACAGTCGTGGAATCTTGGCTCGGATAGTAACAGTGATCGTGAGGGATATTCAATCGGTGTAACAAGGGCTGGTGAAATCAGATTCAGATATTTTGAGCGAGAATCAAAATATGCTAGCTTGTTACGACAACGTGCACTGGATCAAACGATGGGCGATGATCATGGAGAAACTTGATGTATAAATTCGAATTGCAGACTGAGCGCAGAGATTGAAACGGCTTCTTGAGCTTATACCCGTGCTTTACCACATGGATAATCCGACTTCATCTATATCGAGAAGCAACCAGCTCATGCTTGTGTTCATTAGTCTCGCTTATATCAACCTTACGAGCATACCCAAATAACAGAACTAGATCAAAGTACTATGTAATTCTCCGCAGTATAATTCCCACTTATCTCCCCGCTACTCATCACCATCATTGTTGAATGAGATGTAATTACTCAGAGACTTCAAGATTTCCTCGAACCGAGGGAAATCGTTTAGTATCCCGTATATGAGAGACTCATAACAGGAATCGTCCAGATATTAAGAATCTCCATGCTTGAATGCGAATTTGTTTCATATTCTCATTGTCATGAATTGATACCACTAGCTAGTCACCTCCAAAATCTGCCAAAACTTCTGCATTCTGTGCTAATCTACCGCCAGAAAGATGGTGTTCAAGCTAAGGCGTACTTATGTTTCTAATAAGCCTCTTTCGTTTCTCACACCTATGTAACATTATCTACTCGTGTGTTGGTTCTCAGGGGATGCTGGGGAATAACTACCTGGAAGCTTAAGTACCTCAAAAATGATATACTTCTGACTCTTAGTTTGCGTGAATCACTACATTGAAAACGAAATACTACACTGAGTAGCAGTGAAAGGGTTTCTGAGCGCAGTCTATGGCTTTCTTTTTTCTTTTTTTTGCCAACTTCATTGAATTGGAAAATCATAAGATGACTCAAGTGTGAGGTAAGTCACGAGATTTTGAGCTTGAGCCTTAATAACGAGGCGTCAAAACCATTAGCGAGCTAGTGACCTCAAGTACTTGAGGTCACTAGCTCGCTTTAACCACGTCGATACTTGGCATCATTCATCCCCAACTCCCTTAACTGCGCGCAGTGCTCTAAAAACTTCACAATTATCAACGCTACGGTACTATGGATCCACCACATCGTCGACAACCTCGTTTCAAAATAACTTGGTGGATGCGAAAAAAGTATAATATCAAAAAATGGTTCCGTGAATTGTTCAGTACCCGCTTTCACCTCCGTGGAAGCATCATCCGTCTTCGACATATCTATCCGCATCCATTCTTAGCCCTTTTTCGGCTTTTCATACCATTTCCATCGTGGAGCTTTCCGCTACCTGAACCTGTTGCTCCTTCCGCCATTGCCCAAAACGAGAAATTATACGAAATTCGCAATAAACATCATGGAACTCTCCGCAATGTCCAAGTCTGGAGAGCTCGTGACACTCCACTCCGCTGTGTTTACCGCATGTATGAGATCTTAATGATGGGTGACTATGTTCCGTTAGGTAGCGAGACGGAATATTTTTGGCGTCAATGGACAAAGAAATGGTCTCTGAGTTCAATACCAGATCCCAAAGATACTGATCCCGTTCGTTATGCAATTGTTGCATGTATAGTGGAGGAGTTGGTACGCGCTTTCAACTGGAGGTTGGCTCTGGGAATGCGTCGCGATGGGAAAAATATTCGACGGGAGAATGAAGGTGATCCATATCCCCCGTATACTCCTGTTGTCGGACCTGATTGGACACGTTCTGTGCCTTCCATTGAGCCAGACATGCTAAAGGATTTACCCTCTGAAATGGTGACTGAGAGTGGAAAATTGGTTCTCGAAGAACGTGGGTGCGATGAAAACTTCGCAAAACGGAACATCATCACGAATGTCGGCTGGTTCTATACAGTGTGAGCAATGAACCAATGGCCTCGGGATCGATGTAACACATCATAAAATCGACATGATGTTAAATTGCATAGGGCGTCCGGTGGAATTCATGCACAGACTTAAACACTATGTTAGTACTAAGGGACGAAGTACTTTAAATAACACTGAAAGAGCCACCACATTAACTGAATCGGAGTGGAACAGTTGTACTAGTTTAGAAGACTATTTGATGACTTACGAAAAGATTTTTGAGGATTGTAAAAGAATATTTATATCAGTCCATAGTCTATAAATAAGTTAAGGTTATAGAAAGTAAGGTCTAAATAAACACTATCAAGCCTAATTATTAATCTTGATTGAAAGATATTGTCTAATTTATAAAACTATATTCAACCTCACGAAAAGATTGATTTCTTGAGCATAAAATATTATTTGTTAATCTATTCGATAAAATAATTAAAGATGTATAGTACATATTAGAATTAGCTATAACTTCTATAAAACTTAATATAATAATTGTTTCATATATTATATACATAAAGAGAAAGTGTTATAAAGTTTAAATTAAAAATAAAAGAGAAATAATATATCAAAGTTAATGAGTCGATGAAAATAAGTATAATTTAATATTATCTTTTAGATTCTATATATCTCTATTAAATTTTCGAGTTTCATTTAAAATCAAATAAAGTTTGATTTAAAAAAAAGTAATTTTTATTATTTCTTATTTTCAGAAAATCATTCAAGATTGAATTTGAAAAAGAGATTTAAATTTTCGAATTTTCATACTTGAAATCTCTAAAATAAGCGAATTTATTCTTTCAAAAGTAATAAATCTAATCTTTTTTTATTTTAAATATAAATGACTTTCTTAATTATAAATGAATCTTTATAAAAATATATTTAACTAAAAGTTAAGCTTTTATTCAATAATATATTAGACTTTTAGTATTATAGGTATGAAATTGATTGAATTATTTAAGATCAAAAAAGTATCGAAAATTAAGCACTTTTCGAATCAATTTAATAATTTCAATAGCTTTTATTTTAATCATTTTACTTTCAAATCTTTAGAAACGTGGAATTAATATAATTATTGTTGGTTTGAGAAGGATACGGAAGACGTGGCACCCACGGTATTCGTAGGTCCTAAATGTCTATATTGTATTCTGTCTAAAGAGCTAGCTATGTATAGGAAGTTGTAGGCCTTTTATAGACCTTATAGAAAGAGCTAGTCTCTTTCGCATTCGCTTAGGACTTGTAATACTATAGCTAATGAATTGAAGCTATTTAATAGATCCTAATGATCGACGTTCATATAATTATTATACTAATTAATTATATATATCAATTCTAACTTATTTTATTGAAAATTGTTGAAGTTATAACCGTTTTTGATTTGTACTATACATCTTCATATATTTCGCCGAGTAGTTAATACAATATTCGAAAAGTATATTGAGATCGAAATCATATAAAGTGCTCAAAGCAATCAACACTAGTCGATCACCATTTTTGTTCCGTTCCTCATCAGGGCCCCTCCTTCTGGATACGATCAATATCATAAATACATGTGATGCGGGGTAGGAGCCTTTGGTACAACCTTCACTCACTCATTTCTCATAGACAAGGACTACCTGCACACCTTTCTCGTAGCCCCCTTGATAATGTACATATCCTTCACTGCCACCAAACGATTAGGATTGATGAATGAGCAATAATCCACAATCGTTTTCAACTTTTCTGGTACTTAATTCACCAAGACGAACTTTTGGTAATTCAATATAACGCCTGGAGTGACATCTTGACAGTACCAGCTATCTCAGCCTCACAAACAACTCACGATATCTCGATAGTCATTCATTACGTTATTCCCTCATTTGACACAGATATTTCTAACAAGAAGAGATTTTTACGCGCCGACGACTTCCATCACGGTCAGTCCTGAAAACAAAATCTCAATCAAAGTGCCCTTGTGCTAATTTATCGTAGGGTTACAAGAGCTCGACAAGGAGATGGGTCACGACGAGTTCCTTGTGGGATTTGCCCCAATTGAGATTATCACTGCCGGAGGTTTCCTCGCGGTTTGCTATCTTAAGAATCGCGAATCCACGGGCGATCTCGACTACATTATTGACCCTGAATGGGCTACAGACGCTGACATTCAAGTGCCTCTGGAGAAAGCAGTATTGGCAGTGGCGGAAAAGTGTGGTTTCAATAATGATTGGATGAATCAAGAGATGGGTTTATTCACAACCAAGGCAACCGATAAGCGGCTCTTTGAACAGGCAAAGAAAGAAGACTTGGTTCTTTTTAGAGGCGAGCATATAATAGTGTATGCAGCTCCGATTGAATGGGGCTTGGAAAGAAAGTTGCGAAGGATCTACGTCGGTGGCAGGGAGCGCAAGACCGAGTTTGATATGAGCGACGCAGTGGCCATGCTGAAGTATTTGAAGGACACAAAAGGTCCACTGGACAGAGAGTATATTCGGACGCTTAACATGAACGGATTTGATGTGGTGCCCGATGACAATGCCATGAATCGTGTGGCTGCAGAGTTTCAAAGGGTATATGGAGAGGAGGCTTTTGCTTAGATAGGAGCTGATTATCATCAAAGTATCGTCCACTAGTGGGTATACAGACTAACGGGACACTCCGAAAATGGACTTGTATATATCTCTTGATATATTCAATTTTATGTTGTAAAAATTGTTGTAATTGTTTATTTGAAATGAAACAATCAAAGAATGAATTTTAACATCAAACAATTGAAGAAGGAATTTGTCAAAAAATTCGAAAATTGGGAAGTGTCCCGTCAACCTATGCACCCATTAGTGGTCTAATGAAGAGGAATTGAGACACTATTTAAATTTGAAGGGTGATTTGATTGTCGTGGAATATTGAGGAGTACTACGAGTATGAACAGAGTCTTTCCAACCTCCTTACTGCACCCCATAAGTTTTGTGACAAAAACCCTGTAAAAATGATGTTTTTCTATGTAAATTAAAAAAGTTGAAAACTTTTTCAATTTAAGGAATTTATTTTCAAAATTTCAAAATAGGTAATTAATACTATTTTGTATCGAAAAAAATGTATAATCTACTTTTAATTATTTTTGTTCATAAATTATATAGATTTAAAATAAAAAAAATTGAAAATTTCTAACTTGTAATACTTTTCCTATATAAAATAAGCGATTTTTTTATAGAAAATTTATGATTTTTTTCAATAACTTATAACTTTATAAATAAAATATTCAAAAATAAACCAGCTTTTTTAATATAAAATTAAAATGATTCTCAATCGAGTTTAAATTCTTTTTATTATTTGTATAAAGCTTTAGTAAAGAAGAAGAGGGCTTAAAAGCTGAAAAATTAATGATTTTAGCGGGGAAATCGAAATCTGTGCGGTGAGGTTCTAGAACTCTTCGTATGTCTCTATGATAACTCAATTTACAGAGCCATGTAATTAACGCACTAACAATAAAAATTGCCCAACAGACTTGGCTCTTCATGTTTTCATATTGTTCGCGTAAATTTCCTCCACCCGACCAATATTTGTACACCTCATTTGCCCCTGTCCCATAACTCAACCAAACTCCACGGGAGGCTTTTCCCTCGATAAAAATTGTATTTCCCATGAACTCCATGTCTTTCCCTAGACCAATAGTACAAGAAATGACCCAAGAATATCACAGTCGAGCCGAGTGCGTGATTAGAATTGTTATTGCTCCACCTCTCCTTCTTCTTGCTGCTCCTCTGTACCAGCCCTAGCCTCAGTTACCGGAGGAGCGGTTCTGGATTCAAGCTCGGACTCAAGTTCATTGTCTTTGGGGGTATTATCTTTGTCGTTTTTTATAGTATCTTGACTCTCGTCCGGTAGTGTATTCTCATCATTCGAAGCTGCAAGAGTTTCAGAGCTAGTGTCTTCTCTTCTTGCTCGCTTCGCTAACGGCACCTCTTCTATTTGATCATCAGCCTTACGTTTTGGGCTGACTATCATGTCAGGATCGATCTTTGACGAAACATCATTTGCAGCTGTGGTTTGGTCATGGCTAGAAAGATCATTTGCGGCTGCTTTGAGAGGAGCATCATCTGTTCCAGAGGTAGGCGAAGGTCGAGAATTTTCAGTCGTTGAGGTGTGCGGCTTGCTATCTTCAAGCTTTTCTTTGGGCTGACTGTCACGAGATTCGGGGTCTGACTGGGAATTGTGCTCCGAAGCATTTGCTCCATTCCCATGGGCATGACCGTTGCCATTTTGATTTTGAGTATGCTCAGACTTTGTAGTAGTATCAGCTCCATTTTGTTCTTCTTTTCCACTTGAAGCATGAAGGTATTTGGCAGCCGCGTTGCCGGGTTGGTCTTGGTCCGTAATCTGAAAAGGACTGTTGCTCAGGAATTTATGCAGTATTAGTCCAGCTTCAACAATTTGAGGTTCAGTACCCCCAAGATGCTCCCACCAGTCTTTACCCTCTATCTGGGGAATTTCGCATTTTTTAGCTGTCGCGGCAAATAGAAGTGTTGTGATTGCAATTATTCGAGGACTTGTTATGAGTCCTAAAGTTGAATGGTGTGTGTCGCAGATCAAAGCCCATGTATAATTCCTGAGCTCTTTGATTATCGCAGACTCGACACCCACCTTTGTAAATTCCTCAAAGAAACTCACGAGGTATTTCAGCGGAGATGTCGCAGAAAGGTCGAAACATAATAACTCCAACATAAGTTCCTCATACATCAAAATGCTATCACGCCATCGCCAATATTCTTTAGAGCTGGCATCAACTTCGAGCTTCGGATTCTTCTGAGCAATCTTGATACAGGAGAAAATGAATTGTTTGGTTCCCCGAATAGTCTCTTCGGTCTTTGTCGCGAGAAATAAAGCTGTCGCTGCGATTTCCTAATAGAATCAATTAGTATTCATTGCGCCAGTGATTGTATAACAAAGCTAGACAAGCAGAACTCAAGCAAGCAAAATAAGAGTATATGGCACTGTGATTTCGACTCAAAGCGTGGTAAAGTCTACCTCTGAAATGTGATATAGAAGGATGATTCACCGAAACCCCAAGAATCAGATAATAAAGGAAATACTTACATAGTGATGAATCCCGGTGCAACCCTTCTTGTCCAAAACCATGCTTCTGCGCATATAGAAACGGTGAAAGTATAGACTTGCGACGCTCACAGTAGTCATAGGGATATGTAGCATGTTTCCGATTGATGACATGAAAGAAACACCTTTTGCCCTGCGAATACGCTCTTCTTCGGGCGATAGACCTTCTAGAATAGATGGAGTGGCTTTAAGCTCTGCCTCTGTGAAGAGCCATTGATCTGGAACTTTGGTCGGCATTTCTGATATCAATGCGTACTTTGTTTGACGGAAGGGTGGTTCGGGAGGTAGGTGATGATTTGACAATCGCGGAGGCGAAGGAACCGCCGGTGGTATGTACTTCTCAGTTATAGTTGAGGCGCAAGAAGATGGAGGTCGAGTGTGAGTGTGGTTTGAATGATCATCCGGAAATTCGAATTCGGGAGTAGGATGTGGACCGGCGGTGGTCATAGGAATGAAGAGGTGTGATAGAATTTGATTTGCGATCGCGAGGCTGTTGTAGACGTAAAAACTTGCTTCGTCTACGGGAAGGCTGTCAACTTTAAACAAGTTTACAATGGCCTTTTAAAGTCGGGTGGTAAAAACATGTACAATTCCAGTTCTGCTATCATTAAAACTCATTATCGATGGAATTCTTGTCACAATACCAAAAGACTAACTAGACAATTGAAATCAAAATCGCGATAGCTTGAATCGAGCTAGTCGTATCTTAGCGTCATTCATGACTCACACGTGACTGCGTGAACACGCGCCAAAATCTACCGCGTCTTGACAGCTAAGCCGTTTCTTGTCTACCGTACATGTCGTCAAGTTGGCCTACAGTCCAATATATACCGAATGACTGGATACATTCCACAGGTATGGTGATGACTAGGCGTGTGTCTCTAGTTCAGCATTCTTCAGGAATCAACATATCGACGGTCATATCGCCACGCCACCACAACGCCGACTATGGTTGTGTTATTTGACTCAATCAAAGTGATGTCGTGGAAGTAAAAACTCACAACGAAGTCCAAGTGGATAATCTTTGGTTATATCACGAGATTCTGAGTATGGTGATTCTCATTAATATTGTAGAGTGCAAAACCTGGTGGAATTTTACTCTAGGGATGATTTCAAGCAGCTTATGGCGGAAGTGCCGCAATATGAGACATTCTTTCTAGACGTGAACCGCATTTCTACTTGAACATTCCAACTGTTCATCGCGCCAAGCCCCAAGATATGCGTCTTAGTTATAGTCAGGATACCCTCATAGATATTATAAATCTATTGCTGTCATGTAGAATCAATAGCGGCTTTTCAATATCCAACATCATGATTCTATCAAATCTGTTCATAGCTTCTTTAGGCATCATTTCAGTCACTTCGTCTCATTCATCCACCAATGTTTGCCTAGATGCACTCTCATCAGACCCCAGTGACGCGGAAGAATTTTGCATACAATATTTAATCTCCAGCACTATTCCTGTTCCTTCATTTGCATCACCGTGCTTGGGCACCGACTCGTCTGACAATCAGTTATTCGAATCTTGTTACGAGCTGCTTCATCAATTGGAGAAAGGAGTTTTACTGCCTGACTCCTCACATCTCGGCCTACTTGAGGGGCCTGTCAAGCGTGGAGAAAAATCAACTCGCGATGGAGGCTTCTTCAATACAGGAAGTGTGCCATCAGTAACAACCAATATTGGCACGTATGATAATTATGGATGTTTTGAAGATGGCGCTCGGGGAAAACCTCTGGGCTCTCCGCTGCTCAATCTGACTGGCCCTGCAGCGGACACAATTCAAAGTTGTGTAAATGCATGTTCTATCTCGGGGCCAAATTCAATACCATACCGCTATGCCGGCATAGAGCCTGGATCTTGCTGGTGTTCTAATTACATCTCAATTCTCTCCGTCAAAACCGCTTCTTTCTGTCAATCGAATTGCCCGTCTAATTATGGCAAATACTGTGGGGGTACTGTGGGCGGAGTACTTCACATGCAGATATATGAGTTGAAGAATGTGAATCCTTCGTCGACGACATCTGTGAAAACGACAACTACTTCTTCGTTGAGGTCTTCTATTAAGTCATCCATCTTAACGTCACAGTCAGGGACTACATCTTCATCTAAACTCTTGAGTTTGACGACGTCAACGAGCAGTCAAAAGTCTTCGTCAATTACCAAATCTTCTTCTTCTAGCCCAACGCACTCTACATCTAGTACATCAACAGCTCCCGTATCTTCCACAATAAGCAACATCCCATCTACCTCTCTTCCACCAATTATCGAAGGATCAACCACCATATCATTTGGTTTACCTCCTGACCCTCCAACTGTTCCTCCGATCGTCGGTCCTACTGGTACAGAAAGCTATATTTTACCATCGGGTACTTTCGCTTACCCGAGTGAATCATCAACTCCCACCCAATCATTCGGCTTGCCTCCCGATCCCCCAACTATCCCTCCAATAGTTGGTCCTACCGGTACCGACAGTTACATTCAACCATCGGGTACCTTCGCTTACCCAAGTGAAGTATCAACCACAGGTAAGCCTAATACTTGGGCATCTTTAATATTTGATGAGCCTGAATTTTGGACACGAGTTTCTTCTGACGCAATCCTAGGCTTTGTGGAACCAACTACTGCCCCTCAAAAGGTTAAACGCGAGTATGATATCACCGCTCCTGATAGTCCCTGGCTCCCTCTTCTCCCCCTAACTTCTCCTGAAATTCTCAAAGATGTCGCTCCTGGTCAAGTTACAGGTTGGAAACAACAATCTATTGTTCCAAGATCTGATAAGATGAAACGCGAATACGATATCAACGCCCCTGATAGTCCCTGGAAATTCCTCTTTCCTCTCACCTCCCCAGAATTCTCAAAGAAGTCGCTCCTGGTCAAGTTCCCGGCTGGAAACAACAATCCGTCTCCCCACCTCCCTCACCCGTAAAACGCGAATACGATATCAACGCCCCCGACAGCCCTTGGCGACCCGTTCTTCCCCTCTACACACCCGATATCCTCAAATCCGTTCCCGAAGACCAAGTTCCCGGTTGGCGAGGCCAAGCTTCTGCTCCTCTCATCCCCGATTCTGACGTTCCTCCAAGAACTAAATCTAAACCTAAACCTAAAACCAAAAATCGTCGCCAACTCGGGCGTCTCCCAGAAAACTTCCTCGAACCTCCCGGTCGTCCAGATTTCATCAAAACATACCCAGAAAAAGATAACAACAAACCTCTCCCCCCACCTTTCAACAAAATGCTCGATGCCGTAGACCCCAAAACCGGCAAAAAATTACCCATCCCAAAGCCGAAACCTAGATACAGCCATTCGAAAATCAGTCTGCAGAAATTTCCTAGCTTGAAAGAAATCGGATTGGAACAAGATGGGAGGGAACATGAAGGTAAAAAAGGGACAAATGTAGATGAGAATGAGAATGAAAACGAAGATGAAAATGAAAAATCCGAAACCGCAAAAAGAATCTCAGACCTGGAAAAAATAAGAGATAGACGCTATGCGCACAAACTCCACCTACAAGGAACACCCAAAGCGTATGCGGAGATGAGGGAGAAGAGTGAGAGAGGTGCGCGTCAGGGACAGAAGAAGATGGGGATGGAGGAGTGGGAGAAGAAGATTTTTAGGGGTTTGGGGAAGGAGGGGGGGAAGGGAGAGGATGAGCAGGAAGAGGGGGATGGGGAAGGGGAGGAGGGAGAGGAAGAAAATTGGATGTGGAGAACTTGGAGTGGGAGTGGGGGCAAGAGAAAGGGGAGGAAAATTCGTTTGGAGAGGTGAGGAGGAGGTGGGGTGAGGGGAGGGGAGTATCTACTGGGTGGATGGATGGAATGATATGAGATGAATCGCATGTCAGGGCGAGGAATCTTGGGATTTGAATTTTTTAATTTCGAGTTTGAAACACGACGCTAGTGCTATCTCGCAATTGGCAATCAGACCTAGTATGAATAATCGACGAAATATTCCATTGATGAAGCCGCATATTGAGATCCAAATCCAATCACTACATCCACTTTTCTCACACGATACACTTTTTCCATTGAACTTGAACGAGCGGCTCGGGAGTTAGTAAGCTGATTATGAATTTTCTTCTGATGAGATGCAGTTGAGAACTAGAAATTCTCTACGTAACATTTTTCATTTTTCATTTTTCATTCTCAGGGATCGGGATATCTGTAATCCTTATTTACTTATTTTACCTGTTTGAATTCTATATATGAAAATCACAATCATACCTCTTCATCCGTACTCGCACTTTCCCCCCTTTTTTACTTCATCATTCTTACTACTTTGCATGTTCATTTTTTCATTCATCCATTCATCCATCCATCCATTCCTCATCCCACCACAAACTTTAAACAACAAGGTAGGATACCATACACCATACACCCTCCTCCCTCTCTCCCTTCCTCTCTCTCCCTTCCTCTCTCCCTTCCTCTCTCCCTTCCTCTCTCCCTTCCTCTCTCCCTTCCTCTCTTCCTTCCTCTCTCCCTTCCCCGCAAATCTTCAATCTTCAATCTTCAATTCCATAATTCCACAATTCCATAATCTACACATACACACACATATCTACCCAAAACCCATACTCATTTCCAAATTACAATCCCAAATTCGTATATCAAATATACATACATACATACATACATATAAGAAATTCATAAAGAGCGAATTATCTCCCCCCCCCCCCCCAAAAAGATAAGCAAGCAAATAGTAGAATCAAATCCATTCATTCATTCGATTCTTAAAAATCCATCCACATCCAGAAATCCACCTATGCATACATACATCCCATATATCGCACTGCAACCATGCTATCCAATCCTATCCCCTATGTCCTATGCTATGCTATGCTATGCTATCCAATCCCAATCTATGATACCCTATCCAATGCTATCCAATGCTATCCAATACTATCCAATCCTAATCAATAATATCCTATACCCTTCACCTATCCCCTACCCCCAATCCCCAATCCCCATCACCCCTCCCCAAACCATCTTATATCCCCCCGAGGGCTTTATCTTCCCTCTTTTCACCACCCTCCTTTCAACCCCCCCTCCTCACTTCAAATAGCCTCATCCCCCAACCCCAATATAATCCCCATGTATAACCATACCTCCGCTCCCCCCATCTCCCAGTCTCCCCTCCCAGTCTCCAGTCTCCCATTCCCTTTACACATCTACCCCGCATCATACCATCCCTATCCTCCCTACCCAACAAAAGAAACCAACCAACTAAACACACTTAATATATGCAAACGAGCTAGCCAAAAAGAAAAAGTCTCCCATAAAATATGAGTAAAGCAACGAACAAAGAGTAAAGTAAACGCACGCACGCACGCAATGCAATGCAACGCAACGCAACGCAAAACAACCACACCACCCGAAAGCCCTAAAGATGACGAAAAAAAAGCCCAACACCATTTGCTATGCAGGTATCTAAAATGTTTTTCATATACGCTAAGAAGCAGTGAATCCATTCCAATCCTCCCATCCAGGTCCAATCAATCAAAAGTTCCTACTGCTCGAACTTGAAAATATACTGAAGTATTTGTAACAATACAACTCATTATCCAACCATCTCATACTTTTTCATCCAACTTGATAATTACCACTTCACTCCTTTCGAATCAACAGTGTAGTTATATCCAATTCCACTACTTTTATCCCTGTACAAAATAACCCCCCCCCCCCCCCCCCCTATTTTCTAATCCGTCCATTTCAGTCAGAATGAGACAAATTACGCTTCATCGTCACTGCGGTATTTCTTATGCAGCGAATTTTCTAAATCCCTCTACACCCAAAGTAGGAACCTCCACCCATTTCAGGGTTGGTACTCCCTCCGACCTTCTCCTCTCAACAAAGTTGTTGCACTCTCCAACAATTTGCATCCATTCCGCTAACGCCCTACCCGCATATTTCGATCTTGCGAATCTATCTCTCCCCGCAAGTTTTGGATCCACAGGTGCTACTTCCTTACTCATTCCTGGAACTCGAGCACCAAGCCATGCATGAGCCGGAGCAGGAAGACGAGGCGGTGTAAGTTTTCTTTCATTTGCAACATTAGAACCAGCAGGTCCTCTACCGGCTGCGTTACCTTGGAGGATCGAATGCGCTTTTTCGAAATTTTGGGCCCATTCCAAGGAGAATTTAAAGCTATAGGCACGGTGAGATGCGGTAGCTGGAGGAGTTTCGCTGTCACTTGAATTCTTGGAATGAAGAGCAGGTCTAGTTCTTGCCACAGATGTAGCTTTTCTTGCTTCCTCGAGTGCCTTCTTTTCAGTTACAGGTTTGAGGGAAGTGGAAGGAGAAGCAGCTGATTCAGGCGAAGAAGATAGAGATGGGATTATTTTCCCCATAAACGTCCATCTCTTCTTGTTTGGAGTAGTGGGCGTTTCGCTAGAAGGTTTGGGAGGTTCATTTTCGTTTTCTTTTTTTTCTATTTGTGTCAGATCTCCTAGAAGTGACTGTCTTTTGTATGCACTGGACGGTTTTCGAGGTAGAATTGTAGGATTGTTAGTTGTCATTAAGCCATCGAATCCTAGAAAGAGATTTGGCGCAGACATTTGTGTGTCATTACGGATGATCAAGAGTCGTCGGCCAGGTGCTGGATAACAAGGTGTTGTAGACGGAGGAAGGAGGTCGGAACTCTCAGCCGCTTGTTTGAGGAAGATATAATTTGCCCAAGTACCCTTGAGCCGCGAAGAAACAATCCCAAAGATTTTTCTGTTTTTCAATTAGTCAATGTGCCTCACGAAAAGTGAATAGAATATGACTCACGTGTCAAGATCGGTAGCATCTCCATCCTCGCGGCACATTCTCCAACATAACAAGCGCATATAATATGCTCGGACCATGGGACACCAATGGTTGAAGAATTTGTCAAATGTATCCTCGGTAAGCAACCACTGCAAACACAGAATCTCCTTCCGAGTCTCATTGTTTGTGACAAGATTCCAGGCAGAGTAGAGAAATGCGAATAGACGAATTTCAGACATACTGTTCTGGCTCTCTAGAATCTTCCTGCAGACATCCAGCCAGAAGTGCCAATCAATGAAATCATCTTCAAATTCATGAGCATGATGGAATCGAACAAATAGTGAAAGTGCTTCATCCATAAAGTCGCACAAAACGAAACATGCATTGTGATCAAACAAGGACGTCCTTCGCGCTGAAGCTTGCATCATTTTACTAAAAGCCTGGGCGAAAGTCATTCGAGCAGGCTCGAAATCGGCAGGCCTCTCAGAGAGGAAGTCTCGAAGTAACATGATTAAGCGATTTTCGGCCATTAGCCTGGCGGAATTGGTGGAAGGGAGAGGTAAAGCAGCAGCGGATGCATCGGCGCCTGCAAGTACGTCCTCAAAGGCGATTGGAAGGGCTTCAACTGCTGGTTGACGATGAATGGTAGCATCCAGAGCAGTCAGAATCTGTGCTTGAACTAAAACGAAACCCGGCGCGCGTGCTTTGGTCGCAAACGGAAGATCCGAAGGCATAAATTGCTCGGCCAAGATATGATAATGTTTCGAAAACACATAGAAAAGATCACTATCTCGTCCGCACCATCTAGCAGCCCACAGACCATACCATGGTATCTTGGAAACAAGAATTGATAAGGCAGGATTTCTCCGGAGCTGGTTAGACATCGTCATCACTGACGTCCAACCCAATACTCGAACGTGTGGCGGAAATGTAGCAGCGACTTCTTCGGTTTCTACTTTATTGGGTCGTTTTGGTAAACCCAACTCGTCGGCAACACGTTTTAAAGTGTCGGCCGGTATTTTCCATATTCGAACGAGTATTTCTGAAATTCCAGGCACGAAGAAGAAAGCATAAGCAGCAGCCTTTCCACAGAATGTGACCAAACTTGCAGGAGCATGTCTCAGTGACATTTTGGCAACCACAAAGTGCATCTGAGATGTTAAGTTCTGAATAAACAAATTCCTGACATTGTGATAGACAGACTCGGCTAAAAATTGTGATCCTGATGAGTTCAAGGAGCTTGAAGATTTTCTTCCCCGTATAGACGTGCGCTCAGTGCGCTCAGGGGATCGGTTAGGAGATCTTTCCGATAGGGGCGAGAATTGTGATGGTCCAAGTCTCCACTCTGGCCGTGTCATGATCATCACGATAGCTTCAAGCAGTACAGGACGATCTACACCTGATACTATTTGATTTGCACGTCCATCTAGTACTTCCAGAAGCCCAAGCCACCATTTATTAAAGATGTTGATTCTTCTATCAATATCTTCCGGGCGAAGACATCTATTGGATGGGTGGTTGATATTATTTCGAAGGAATGGCAATAGTGTAGAGCGAACGACATTGGTTTTTAGCGATAGTGATTTAGATTGAAATTTAGAGTAATCGTTTTCTAACCCTCGGAAAGCCTGCCAAAGTTCATCTCGTTTTCGTGGTGTGTCAACACTCAGAAGCTTTTCCGTAGAGAAATTTTTGGGTAGCGGAGGGACTTTGTCAATTGAAGTCCTCGGCGTAGATCTGTTGTCTATCGAGCTACCTGGCAAACTGCTGGTGGATGAATTGACGGAGCCGAAGGTTGCGATACCCAGGATACTACTCGGTCTCTGCCTGATCTTTCGAAGAGTTGAATTCCTTTTCACTGGAGGTGGCTTGGATGGGCTATCGATATCCTCCACTGTGTGGTCGAATTTCGCGGGAATGCCTGCCGGAGGAGCAAGTACGGTGGTCGCCATTTTTGATGGCCCTTCACTTCTCCCATCGCTCTCAATTTGTTTTCCTGCTTTTCGATTACTTGGGGATGGCGATCTTGACGATGACGAAATCCAAGACTTTCGTGCAAACGTAGCAAAAGATTCTGATACAGATTTCGTCTTATCTCTGGAAGCCTTGGAAATCTGCGGCACTGGAGGTGCATCATCTGGAGTTGAATTGGCATATTCAGGAGCGGGGTTTCTCTCGGGGGATCCCTTCACTTTCTGAATCCAAGACTTTGGACGTGCCACCAGTGATTGTCTCCTCCCAACTCTCTCATTCTTTGCCTTGTCTTCCTTCGTGAGTCGGTTGGTCGATTTTCCTTCTCGAATGGAATGTGATTTTGGTGGAGGTGTTTCTATCTGTGGAAAGGGAAAAGATGGGGTGCTCGCGGCAGAGTTCAGTCTATGTAATTCGCCTTCATCATAATCGCTACTCGCATCTTCAATGGTTGGTAAGGTACTGAAACTCGCAGATCGTGGAAGTTCGGTATCGCTATGAATGGAAGACCTCTTGTACTCAACATTAACTAAATCGGGGATATTGGAAGAAGAGTGAGAACGAGGGAATGCGGTCTTCGAATCGAAGACCGAGGGCATTGTCAAGGTAGAACCATGCATGGCCGCAACAGACTGCATAGAGCAGAAAAATGTAGCAGAATTTAGATGAACATTTCAACTGTTTTTTTTTTCTCTTTTTTTTTCTTTCTTTCTTTCTACAAATGGAGATTCAAACAAACAAACAAACAAACGAGTGACAGATTAGTCGCGCGTTCTCTGACCTGCAGAGATGTCGACTGATTCGATGAGGCTGAGTAAATTTCCAAGATTGAAATCCTTCTGGAATAGAATATGTTTTCAAAAGCTAGGGTGTTGGGGGTAACGAAGGTTGTTGGAGTGGAGGATGGTGCGCGAGTCTTCCGTTTCAACAGTCTCTCGAATTTCAACGATTGTGGATACTTTTGTCCTCTTCCTTTCTTGTAGGAAATCCGGAATTGTCGAGAAAAGAAGTGATTGGATTGAGTTTGGATTGAGTTTGAATTGAATTGGATTGAATTGAATCGAATTGATTCCACGTGAATGTCCCAAGAAGTAAAGAAGTGGAAGGTATTGGGTTGGTAATCCTTTTTGAAAATCCGCGGAGTTTAGGTGAAAGCGAATGTGAATATGAAAGTGGTGGGTAGTGGTAGTGGTAGTGGCACTGTAGTCGTAAGATAGGCACTTCCGGGATTTGTCGCACATTAATTAACCACGATATAAAAATGTCGTATCTGATGGGGGAAAGTGGTATAGTATACGGTAGTATGTATGTATGTATGTATGTATGTATGTATGTATGTATATATGTATGTATATATGTAGGAGGTATGTATGCACAAACGAATGTCGAATTTATGTAGATGTTTCCGTTCAAGGAATATTTTTGATGGGGAAGAAAAAGAGGAGAAGAGTTAAAGGATGTACGACGATGATGATGAGATGGAGATGCATGAGATAGAAAGAAGAAAGTGAGGAGAGCGAATGAGAAGGAGGAGGAGAAGAAGGAGGAGGAGGAGAAGAAAGAAAAAGAAATGTGAACATTCAAGAGCAAATCACGATAACATCAACATGGTTCACAATCAATTGAAAACGTGGATTTTGATATAGCGATGAGGAATGAGTGAAGGGTGAAGAGTGAAGAGTGAAGCGTGAGTGTAAGGTTAGTTGGTAGTTGACCCTGAGTGAGTGGTGAAGGTGGAGTTTTTTTTTAACTGAATGAGGCTGGACTTGGGATTCATTGATAGAAGATCTTTTCCTTGATATCTACTTACTTGGGGAGGAGGTGAAATGATGATAATGCCTTGATTATTCCATTCTGTCTAGGTAGGGGGGGGGGATTAATATCATTTCCAATCGATTCATTGGAATTCGCACAAAGAGAGGGATCAGAACGATGCAACACAATACAATACAACACAATAAATACATTGCAACACAATACATTACAATACAACACAATACATTACAACACCACACAGCACAACACAACACGACATCACATCACATCACATCAGTCAGCATCGGTATAGTCCCCAGTAGTTAGTATATGATATCGGTACCATACGACAGAGGATGTATCTAGGAAGTGATAGTCAATATGGAGTACATGGGGATAGGTTATAACTATCCCGTACACCGAAATCTTTGGCTTCCAATATCCAATATCCAATATCCATATCCAGGGTCCAAAAGAACGAGCGTGCATTCATCAATCATACTAAAGTCCTTCATTCATACCGGCTCTTCGGAATCGGAATGCGTCCAAGCACATCATTTGATGGAAAAGAAAGACCAAGTGTTGAATAGAGTAGAGTAGAGTAGGGGTCTACCCGAGGTATCTCGAGGGATCTATGAATACCTAAATAGACCCTTGATATACTACGAGGGATTCTATAGGCAGGTATCTACAAAGTATGATATGATACTGACATTGCCTTTTCTCAACATATCTACAGAGAGTATAGTACCTACATACACAAGCGCACTTGTACTCAATTCTATTACATCCCGTCGTAGTAGAGAATTGCTCCTCACTTCCATTGGACATACTGCACGATTGATGCTATGTATCTATGCATGTACGTACTTCCATTTCTCATATCCTTTCTTTTCTTTTCTCTTCATTCATTATTCATTCCCCCTCTCCCCTTATCATGGCCTCGCAATGGTTTGATACAATTAACCAACAAGAAGCTATTTTTAGTTACGCACCGTATTACTTTCCGTTCATTACCTTGATCTATCTATGATTCTGACATGTTGCATGTGTTAGTTATATGCAGGCAATGCAGGCAATGCAGACCAGTACCAGGAGGCGCAGGCAGGCGTGGGAACCGAACAGCGCAAAGAGAAAGTGGGCGATAATGGTGCAATCGCACCGCTTTCAAAGAATTCTCTAGCCATGGCGAGAATATGTTGTGCTCTTCCAAGCTTTCTAATTTGTCCCCTTAAGCATCCCTTAGCATCATCCCTTAGTATCCCTTAAGCATAAGAACATGGGTCTGTCGAGTCCCCTCTGCGCAATGCCTTTATCGCCCATAAAACGTCTTTGCTTTCCGCTCGTGTTTCTGAGAAATTTCCAACTTGAAACCTTTACGAAGGAAGGATACTTTACGACACATAATCGTTCCTTTTGTGGGTACATGTTGTCCCTCTTCGGGTCGGTCGGATTGATACGTTATAATGGAAGAGAAATCTCACCGAGATTCGATTGTCGAACATCCCTTAAACCCTTGAGTGTTGTCGTAACCGAAAGAGATCATTACGAATGTTCCGCGCTTGGTGAGGTAGCATGTGGGTAGCTGCTATGTGGCCTGGTGGAGACATCGATGCTGGTTGGAATCGTTGGATGCAACGATGTTTCGTAGATCTCAGCAGGGGAAGTCTCATATCCGAGATTTGATGCCAAGATATCGAACGATGTTGAAGAAATAACGATACCGTGCAAAATTCAAATGTAATAACTTACATATCGATGCAAGCCATGCTTAACTTCTCACAGACTTTGAAAATGGTGTGGGGGAAATTGCCAATCAGTGAGATGAGATAATCTGCCAAAGTCTTACTCAAAATTTAAGAGTAAGGGGCTGTGGAGTCCTGAATTGTTGAATCAAAATACATCTACTTCTTCCAACCTACTGCGCCTGTGAGTCTTCTCCCCAAAAGAGCTCTTGCAGACCATGTTGTGGTGAGAATCCTCCGTACATAAGCTCTAGGTATCCCAAAACTTGCCTGTCTTAGGTCTTAGGTCGTATGCCTTTGAAGCCAGCACCAGATTGTGCACAGCTCTTACATTCCTGTCTGCATGTCAAAAACTGCAATGCTTATCGGAAAAGGAACGTGGATATAACTGCTTGGTCGCCTTCATGCAATCATTTGTTGTCTTTTCCTGAGATTGCTGCAGACCAGATGCATATTCTGCCATTTCGAAAGCAAGTCAAAAGAACACAGTAAGATAATGGGATAGTGCTGGAATGTGAAGATGTAAAGATGCACCGAAATTGACGAGATCCTTCTCCTTCTCCCAAGAACTCATCCGTCAATAGTAGTGGTCCACCTTCCTCGTTGGGTCTCCATAGGTAGTGCACAAACTGGCACAGGATACACGTTCTTCGTGGCTCTCACACGCAGAGTAGACACAAATTATAAAACACACAGCCTTATCAAAAAAAGCCGTCTTGGCTTTTAGATGTGGCTGGCGGATAGGCTCACGAATTATTGGTTGAATATTCTCCGTGGATAGTTTGAGTGCCTATCTTCTGTCGAATTTCACGAGATCAACACGAGGTAGATGGAAAATACATAGTACTGAGTCTTAAGGCCGCGTCGGTCTACTGATTAATCACTTCATCAACGGTGGAGATCGGATGTAAATTCCTTGATATCATCTGAAGACATTCGATATATATCCATAGGTATGTTACGAGGCAGCTGGTAGGTAAAAGGGTGACAACGGTACTGGTTATCAGCTAATAATAATACCTGGGTACTCTGCCTTTACTTCATCATCTAATTGATCATCAGCCTTGCATGCACGGCTGTGAATGTTCGCCTTCCCCACAAAATTATTGAATTGTCAATGTTCCAATCACAGCACGAAACCATTGCAAGAACACCACATCACCACTCCAATCCAGTACCGCAACTGCATTTACAACGGTTGCTCTACCACCTACAGTAATAGATTAACTGGTCAGAATACAACTACATCACACCCAACCTCTCCTACTTATGACTACGGAGCTTTAAAACATAATATCATTTCCAAAATACAAAATAAACGACATCTCAATACTCCATCACATTCGGTATAACGAACATTCAACGACATCATGGATCAACTTCCGCCTGAGATTCTGGACTTGATCCTTCAAAAGAATATCGACATGTGCCGCGACCATAAATCCCAACTTTTGGATTTGCGATTAGTATGTAAAGCGTTCGATCAAGGCTTAAAACTATCAATCTTTAAGACGACCTCGTTGGAATTCTCGCGATTCATCCGATTTCGAAATATCGATGACAACCCAGATGAAGTGAAGACGCTCCAAGATCTAGCTTCATTAGCATCCTCCATCTACATTGATATGATGATAACTAGAGATACAGGTATGCGTTAATACCTACTCCCTCGCCCCTCAAAATTGCATCACATCACATCATCTGCGCATTAATACGTAGTCCATGTACTGCTCGCGCTGCATCGTTTATCTATCAGCGAGGCACTTCAAAGCTAACACATTTGTTAGATGAGATTGATCAGCTTAAAGAGACCTTCAACGCTATCTATGCCGGGGTTCCTGAGATGGCAGACTTGATTGACTCCCTTCGGTCATATTGCCTCAACAAGACAACATTTACAGATGAGGATTACAGTCGTCTAGTTTGCATAGTCATGCAGAACGGTCCAGATATAACTCGACTCAAGATTAACCTGCCATTCCAGGTTATCAGCAATGCTTTCATGACATCTACAAGATTGTTCGCGAACACTCTAGCATGTGCGGCAAATCGTCCAGAGGAATATCAAAAAATAGATACATTGGTTCTAGATCACATCACTGATGTCACGATCAACAGTCTATGTAACGTGCACATCGATGTCCAAAATGCTTTCAAAGTTTTTGAAAATCTGAAAAGCTTATTGATATCATTCAAGAGACAAGAAAGCAGAACATCACTACAAACGGTTTTTGCTCGAAATTTCTGGTTGTTAATTGGGAAGGCCAAGGATTTGGAAACCTTGTGTATAATTGGATGGAACGTGGCGCAAACCACCAAACGTGTAAGAAATAAAAGAGTCGCGTCCAGGATGACGAACGAACAGTGGACCATGCGGTGCCTCCCATACCATCCTAGCAAAAAACTCGTCCTTAGCAAGCTGAGGTGTTTGGAATTAAAGCGGATGGATCTAGACCCTCTAACGCTGCTACTTTTGATCAAGGAAACCAGTCATTCCTTGACAGAATTATACTTGAATGACATCGGTCTGAAAGTTAATGGTTCGACCGACCGAGAGAATACCAGTCTATGGATAGGTTACCAAAATATCGAGAAGCCTGATGAATGCACATGGGTCGGCCTAGCTATCCGAGATATTGAATGTCTCAATCTCAAGATTCTTCGAGTTAGTAAACTTGGTTATGATGATTACAGTCCAGACCTTGATTCGGAACATCCCAATTATGATCTTGACGACCCTACTGGACACAATAAATCTTTTGATCAAAGGTTTGTGGAAGCCGTCATGGGTACAAAGGCCCCGCTGTCACTCGAGTTGGTATCCAATCCGTCTTCTGAAATGGAGAATCCACATGAAAAGGCAACATGTATTGAAGTTGACCCGAATACTTACGATGCTGAAATATATCAAAAGAGATACAACACAACATCGAACTACAAAAAATCCATTGATGGCATCTTCTACAATAACAATGAACGGGCATTGAGGGAATTACAAAACATAGTCAGCGTTGCCGACAGAGGCATGGCATTACTTACTAGAGAAGTGGAAAGAGGCACTAATTTGACTGCTGATCCAATTTCTGGCGCAATTGTTGATCCACCATTTGGTGCCTGAATAGTCTGACAATAAGCTGGAGCCCCTCAATCATGACTATATGAGACCACATCTCGACGATATGAGGATGTTTATATTGCACTTTGAGATAATTATTGCTCTATTTATGACCTTGCTATTTAGGGACAGCAAAATTTACTTGTACGCAATTTTCAAATGCTAATTGGAGACATACTAATCTCTAACTTGAGATTCTCCGTTTCATTACATGAACTGGGGACATGATCAAAACAAATACTGGAACCTTCAAACCAAGAAGGATTATCTTTAACTAGGTACAAATGCCATCAAGTCAGGTGATGACAGGAGTGTAGATGGTTTCGTCGCAACTTTTAAGTTAAGCGCCTAGTCTGGGACACCAACAGGTGGCAGATTAATCGAACACCCACTCCTGCCCCAAAAGTTAGTTTCATTTCTTATACTATTGGTCAGATCAGTCTTCGACAATGTACTTTCTGCCTTACGCAAGTTCCAACAATCGTCTTCGTGGCAACACAAATTGCGATCATGCAAATATCCTAGCTTGCTCTCGTTCCCATTTTCACACATGATATTAGCTACTCAGGTATAGCGGGTAGATTTTATCTTGTCGCTAAATGCACCAGTTGCTTAAAGTGATATAGGATTTACTTTTTCTAAAATCTTTAATCTGGTAGAATCTGCCTGCTTACATGTCTTCGCAGGACTGCGAAATGGCTATCTTAGATTTTTGAGGCCCATCATACGGTTTGGCGGAGCAAGACGGTGCTCGCAGGCTTGGCCTGTTGGGTTAGAGGGATAGAAGGTCCATAGCAGATAGAGGAATGATTATACTTAATGACCTCTGGTCCACACTTGACTTTGTCCCGACCTGGGATCTCTTCTTCTTCATCAACCAGTGAGCCAACTTATTTGTTCTTCCCTTCTCTTTTTGCAACTCATTCTTAGTTGAAAAATAATCAAAATCTACACATACAATCAGTCTCAAGATAAAGTCCAAAATCCAAATACACTACATTCTCATCCTCGTCTTGCCAACTGTTGAATCAAAATTCACCTACTTACCCTCGTGTCACGTGTTCGCGTGGAGCTTCGAAAGAAACAAATTCAAGATTTTAAATAATAACGGAAATTGATGATTGATCTTTGGAAAACAAGGTGGTGCTTCTTTTTTTGGTCAAGCTGAAGGAGTGATATCTTTCTCGGGGTCTGTTTTCCTTTTTTCTGGGTTCTATTCTTCTTTCTTGGCTTTCTCTGCTTTTCATTCTCCCTTCTTCTCTGGTAAAGGAAAGAGGGAAAGACGGTTGGGGATTTAAGAGATATGTCGAATTTCTCGGCGGGTCATGATGAGGGAATATATGGATACGCGGGTGCGTATCCCTTTTTCGCAGTGGATTTGGAGAGTGAGGGGAGGTTGGATGGGGATGCGGATGAGAGGAGGTTGGATGAGGTTGGAAATGGTAATGTGAATGCTAGCGAGAATGGGAATGGAAATACTTATGCGAGTGGAAATCAGATGGGTAAGGCAAAACAACATGTAAGACATATTTCTTCGGCTACGACGTTGATTGTGACGAGAGAAGAGGAGGATAAGGTGCAGGTTCCGGAGAAGGTGTTGATTATTGGGAAGTGTGGGGTGGGAGATGTGGATGGGGGTTTGGATCAGTATGGGGATGGGGATGGGGATATGGGGGAGAGAAGTGAGAAAAATTATGATGCGGATTTGGGATTAAAGAGGAATACGACGGGTTTGTCGATGGGGGGTTTGGAGGTGTTGGTTAGAGATGAGGATGTAGAGGTAGTGGGTGGGGATTTGGGGAGATTTGGGGATGGAGATGGAAATGGAGATGGGAATGGGCTTGAGGGGGGTCAAGGTGGGGATGGGAGAGGAAAGGATTTGAGGTGGGATGAAATTGGTGAGTTTCTTTTTTCTTCTCCTTTTTTCTGGATTTCTTCTCTGGGGTTGGTACTGTGAGATATATACGATGATGCGGATTTGTTTGTGAAGATTCATGGGGGTGGGAGTTGAGGGGATAAGTAATCATACTAATGATTTTCCAAAGCCGAATGGAGACAGGATAATGAATATATTCTTTCTGGATATCGGTATGTCTTCTCATTCTAATTTCCCAATTTATAGTTCCCCATCAAGATATTCCATATTCCATAATACACATGAGACAAACCCTATCCTCTCTCATAACTGCTAACTTCATCTTCTCATCTAGACCCGAAACGAAATCCTCACTCCGCTCCTGTAGAAGTATATTTTATCTGCACAATGAAACTGGTAATAAATCTCCCATCTCCCTTCCCCCCTCCCTTTCCACACAACCACCTCAAACTAACCCACCATACTAATATCTAAACAGTAAACATCCATTCCCATCTCCTCGGCGCACTACTCTTCACACTCCTCCCAATATATATATACCATTCATTACTACCTCGCTACCACGATGCAGCGACAGCGGATCTTGTGGTTTTTGCGCTATTTTTTGGAGGTGTGGCGGTTTGTTTTGGGTTGAGCTTTGGGTATGTTTTTTTTGTTTTCTTCTGCTTTTTGGTTTCTTGATATTTCTTTTTGATTTTCTCTTTTTCATTGATTGCATTGTAGCTTTGCGGGATAGTTCCTGCTTCTCTCTTTTGTTCTTGTGTAGTATTCTTCTTCATCACGACTATCTTTCTTTCCAGCACTCTTTCCTTTCGTTGTCGCGCTCAGGTTTGCATTTCATAGCAAAGGAAAGAAAAGCAAAATCAAGGGAGTAAAATCAGAACTAACATTGACTCCGCACTTGCAGATATCACACCCTCAATAACCACAGTCGCCAAACCGCATCCTTTTGGATCGAACTCGATTATCTCGGTATCGTAGCTCTCATGTGGGGAAGTACTGTTGCGACGATTTATCACGGATTTATATGTGATGTTAAATTACAGAGAATTTATTGGTCTATGGTATTTTTTCTCCCATTCCCTCCTTTCCCCCTTTCTTCCCCATCCACCTTCCTCCCCTCTACATCTCCTTTCCCCTTTCTTCTCCTTCTCCTTCCCCTTCCCCCTCTCCCCTCACCCCCATTCCTCGCTAACCCCCCACCTAGATCACACTCCTCTCCCTCACCCTCGCCCTCTTCACCCTCCTCCCTCCCTTCCGCACCGCCTTCTTCCGTCCCTACCGCACCCTCATGTATGCAGCCCTCGGTCTCTCAGCTATAATCTTCATCGTCCATTCAATTATTATTTACGGCATCGCATTGCAATATAAACGATTGAGTTTAGGATGGATTGCAGGCATGGCGGGACTTAATTTCGTGGGGGCATTGGCTTATTGTTTGAGGGTGAGTTTATCTTTATTTTATTTTTCGATTGTTTGAGGGGAAGTACTAGATATCCATCCACCTTGAAAGTTTACACATCTGCGGGTATTGAAAACCAAGATCACGTACCCTCCGTCTGAAATCCCAGTTCGTGAAGCTGGAAATTAAACGAAGGCCAAGGAAACTATGGGTGCAGCAAGAAAAAGAATGATGGATGTACTGACATGACACTCAATAGATCCCGGAAAAATACTACCCCGGCCGTTTCGATTTCTTCGGTAATAGTCATCAGATCTTGCATTGTATGGTTGTGCTAGCGGCGCTGGCGCATTTTGCGGGCTTGGTAAAGAGTTTTGATTATTTGCATGAGGGGAGTGGGGAGTGTGTTGAGGGGTAGGGGGGAGGTTTTTTTTTTTAGGTGGGAGGTGAGGGTGGGGATTGGAAAGGGGTTTGGAGATGGGAGGGGAGGGGAGGGAGGCTTACTTGATTGATTGACTTGTGGGTTTGGAGAGTGAGGATTGAGTTGATTTGTCGGGGTTCTTCGTGGTAGGTTCTGTGACATGGGAATATATCGATCGTGATATTTGGGGTTTGTGAAAGAAAGAAGAGGATGGGAGTGATGACTGAAATGAAATGAATGTTCACTGGTAGTTGTTGTCAAGAAATTTAAGTCCATATATACATACACACATACACATACATGCACAAATAAACCAAGACCAAACAGATCAAATCGATACCATTGTCATTCGTGATTTTCCTATTCTCACCCAGTAAATTGAAAAGCCACTAGGTAGGTAGGTATCTATCTATTTCGCATACGAAACGAGAAAATGAGATGTATCGAAAACAACTACAAAAGTATCTGATTCCTTTCCTTTCCTTTCCTCTCCTTCCTGCTCGAATCTTTTAGTAGGATGAATCTGCAGTGAGTAGTTTTTTTTAGTCTTCTTATTTTTTCTTATTGTATCATGTATGTATTCATGAAGGGAAAGTATTGTACAAAAGTCTTCTTCGTTTCTTCTTTCTTCTTTCCGCTTTCCTTCACCTGTCGATTCGTGTTGTACTGTACTGTAATGTATCGTATCGCTTGTGTCTTATTGTATTATCGCCCATTTTTCCAACAGCAACAACGTAAGATGCAAATCGACAAACGACACAACCTCAGAATCGAAAAGTAAGATCAGAAGGAGTAAGCAGAACCGAAAGCCGAAAGAAATAAAGTAAAACCAAATAATCGTAGCCCAATCTAGTCGTATGTATGCAAGTAATCGATCAAAGTCCCATGTACGCTGGCACCACACCACATGAAACCACATACACCATCTAAATCTTCCACTCCCTCTCAAACTCCCGCACCGCACTCTTCACCGCCCTCTCCGTCTCACCCAACCATCTCTCCGTATCCTTCATCTCCTCCTCCATATCCTGAACAATATCCCACAGACCAGATAACGCGTGATGAACTTTATCTTTACTCTTTTGCGCCAACTCCATCTTCATCTTCTCCTCCGAATCCCCTTCACTCTTCTCTCCTCCTATCAATTTCTCATTCGGTCTCAAACCCTTCAAACTCTTCCTCACCATATTCAACGCCCCCTCCACATCATTCTTCTCCATCCTCTCCTCGACCGCCTTGCGGAACCCCGTAGCTCGATTCTCCATATACGATATCTCCGTGCGGAATTGATTATTTTCCTCGGCGGGAAATGCAGGATTCTGCGCAAATTTGACAATTTCCCAATCTTCCTTCACCGCATCTGCAGCAACATCCTCTCCCTTTCGAAAAACGTGTGGAGATCCAGAAGTTTTCGCATTTGCACCAGAAGCACTCTCATCCGTGTTCGCAACCGCCGCCATCTCCTCAAGTTCATAGACCCCCTCAATAACCTCCCACAATCCCTTCACCAACTTATTTTTCTTCTCCGACACAAATGCCCGATGACACATAATCCTCTCGGCGATCACAATTTTCGTCTTGAGCAAATACTCCGAGGCATCGATTCCCATCCCCATGTTAAATTTCGAAAATTGTGCATCCTTGCCAAAAGTGCTGCAGTCGATATTTCTCGAATCCTTTCCATGCATTTGAGTATCGCAATTCGCGCCTTCGAAGGAGGGTTGAATGGTAGGAAGAACGTCGACGAATCCGACAGATGCATTGTTGACAGTCTGGTTGGCCATCATCATTCGAAGCATCATGATGCCGATGAGGAGTTGCGATGCGACCATGATGAGGAGAGCGGTGATTTCGCGGGGGTTGAGACCGCGCTGGGGAAAGAGAGAGAGAGACATCTTTGTTTTGGTCATGGAGGTTGGTGTGTGTATAGATCGAGATGGAGGATTTGAGATAGATCGATAGGGTTGTTGAGAAGTGACTTTGTTTTCTTGTTCAAGATCGGTCGGGTTTGGTAGGGTTTGTTTGTTTGTAAACTTGCAAACAGAATGTATTGTGACAACCTGACAAGCAACGCAACAAGAAGAAACAGGACAAGATAAGATGAATGTGTAACGATTCGTATCTTATAAATCGAATCAAAACTGCCAGCGAAAGAAGTGCAAACTGGTGGAAGGCAGTACTTTTAATCTGGTTAAAAGGATTGTCCGAAAGCGAGAAAGACGGAAGAAGAAAGTAGAAAAAGAAATCGAAAGATCTTGTAAAATCAGGCTGCCGAGTTCGGGTCAGGTGGTGAAGGGGCTGAGCTGTGAAGGTGAATATTAAGAGAAAGAGATATAGTTCGGATGAGAGTTGAGAGTGAGAGCTGTTGTTCATGGAAATCCTACATATAATACTGTTCAAGCTCAAAACATACCTGATAGAAAAAGTAAAAGACCAATGGAAATGTAGAATAGATAAATCCAACAAGATACCCAAGGGAATGAGTTGAAAGACAATGATTAATATTAAATTTACAATATATAGAAGAAAACCCAATAGTAAGTTCCCAACTTCCAAGATATAATAGACATAAACACCATACCCTGGGTATCATAATAAAGCAACATTAAAAGAAAGTAGCCAATTTTATCTCTCTCCATCTTTCCCTCTCAGTATGCCACCACCAATCTCTCTTCTTTCTATCTTTTGATCTCGAGTCTAGATCTATGTTCCAACTTCCAGTACAACCATCACTAGACTTCGACTCAACTCCTTTCTCCAAAAGTGTTGCGACACTCATGATAGATTCATCACTGCCTTCAATATCTGGCTTCAAATTGTATACAATCTTACTCTCCACTTTTCCGATAAAAGTTCCCAGCTTGAACCGTTCGAGGAATTGTCCATCATCGTCCCAAATTATTATATCAAACTGTGGTGTTGTAGCAGTATCAATCCGAAGTTGAGCAGCATGTCGAGCACTCAACAAACTCATCATCTCATGTTTGCCACTGCCGTCTATATGGGTTTCATATGCAAGAGATAGCGAAGATGAATTGGAAGATTTTCCAGTCATTACACTATCGCGACGCTCACTCTGTCGAGAAAATATGGATTGGCGATTTGGTGGAGGTATTACGGGTACAGTGGCAGGCATAGTCGCCGCTCGATTCTGAGGGTTGCCAACTCCCATATGTCGATACTTGTCTCCTGGTAGTTCGACCCTTGATCTTGGTTTGCAAAGCCTTTGAAGCATACCATTAAAGTCAGTTGGAGCGCGGATAGACTTCAGATTGGGGAATCCGGAGAAAGTGATAGATTTAGTAAGAATCTCAGAAGCTTTGTCGTCATCAGGATTTGTAATTTCCCAATGGAGGTGTTCGAGGGTGGACGAGGCAAGATAGGGATGTAAAAAGATATCATTCTGATCATTGAGCATAGGGGAAGGACCCTGAGATAAAGAGAATGATTTGAGGCTCTTCAGATGAGTAAAAAATCGAGCGAGGATGGCGAGTGATCGTAGTGGTAATGATATTAAAGACAACGAGATGAGACTAGCGGAAGTAGCTAATGATGCATAGGCTGCTAATCCATTCGAGGTTATGCCTGGAAGTGAATCGAGTCGAAGTTTTTTGAGAGCTGGAAGGGAAAGTAAATTTTCATCATTGAAAGAAGTACGTGGAAAGTTCGATATATATAAATCCTGAAGCGAGGGAAGACGTCGAAATATTTCGGTGAATAAAGGTGAATCGATCATGCCACCGGGGCTACAATGAAGAACGAGTGTTTGCAAATGTGGCCAATTCGAATTAAGCCCCAAGAAATCGAGATATTGTTCAGAGCGTAAGGGGCCTGGCACAATCACAGGGGTTTCGATTTCATCAGATGCATTGTAAAGACGACGTATTGGACTTGGTTCGATAATCCATACTTTCTCGACGAGTTTCGATCGTGTCCCCAGTGCATGGAAGAATTTTGTAAATTCATGATCGTATGGCTGATAAATTCCTGGTACGCGTTCTAAGTTTGGACATGCCATTATCACTGAAGCCACCAAATCCATGTATTCATCCTGATCTTGTTTCGTTTTGACCGAGTCTGGCATTGAAGGGAATTTCAGTGATTTGACATATTTGGCGAGTTCTGGTTGACTTCGAAGAGTTCGACGAAGGAGTCTCAACCTGATTCCATGTTTCGACTTGTATTTTTTCTTCATATGCAAACTCGAATCACTTCCAACAAGCTGTATATCTTCATATAAGATAACTCTTGCAGCACTCCACCATTTCTTGTTGCTCAATCCAAGACTGTGCAGATCCCTCATCCAACATGTTGCACAACTTAGGCTCCCCGCTTTCAGATGTGATTTCTTGAGCTCCCGCAGAATGACCAAAAGTATTTCTTCGGGAAGCTTAAGCAAGCCCTCTCCTAAAGATGGCTGCGAGACATGATTCGTCCAAGATACAGGTTCCTGCATCAACCTTTGAGGCTCGAGGAGGGTTGTTCGAACTGGTGGTCTGGGCTCAAATTCATATCGATTGGAGATTGGATCTGTTTGGGACCTTGTGGATCCTACCTGAATCGTACTTCTTGATCCTGATTTGATTGAGTAATTGTTCGACACCGACGATACATCACTGGCTAAGCTGGATAAATCGTCAATTGAGGCACTGGTGCTCAACGGACTTCGAGGTCTCGAATCAAAGGTACCCGTACTTCCTGCCGATGCCGTTCGAGTGGTTTGTCGTGGTGACTGCATTTCCCATATAATTCCTTCCCAAATGATAAGATCGTTTTCAGGAAGTTTGAGAGTATTATATGTAGGATAAGAGATTGAGGTTGTATCGTGTTGGCTGGATCTTCGCCGCTTCTTTAAGATGTCTTGATCCTTTCGGTTGTTTCTAACCTTAATGTGAGATGTCTGATCCTTTTGCAGACTACTGAGTGAATGTGGTGTTTGATCCTTTCGCAAACAATTAAATGACTGTGTAGATGTTGTGTGAGATGGGTGGGAAGAGGAAGAGGAAGAGGATGAAGAAAAAGTCGTGGTTCTAAAGGAGAAAATGCAGTGTCAGCCATAACTAGCCATATCGTTGCAGATGATATACCCAAGAACACGACCCTGATGTGCTTGAGTCTTTTCCGTTTCCGTATTCCCAACCCCATTTCGAGGCCGTAAAAGAGTACTGATCGCGCGCCTAGGTAGTAGAAGATGCAGAATAAGATTAGGGTGGAGCGTTTATGTACAGGGAGGTGATCCCAGAAAATGGCTAAAGCGCAGAAACAGTGGAGGGACGGACGTAGAATTCCCCATTGGATACGGACGAACCACTGAGAGAGCATAGAGGAATCATACTATTTTAAGGCACAGCCGCCTTTATTGCTTCCAAGTTAAGCTCCTTCCTTCCCTCCCTCTCACGCAACGGATAGCGGATGAAATAAATAGCACACCAAGATTAAATGCTACGATGGATCTGTAATAACAGCATCTTGAACCTAATGTATGTTCCTGTGGCATCCGAGTTGACACACTGAACAGTGCTATGAGGCACGATTATATAGCATCTTGATCTTGATGTACTATTCAATTCATCCACCAACTTCCAAGTGCTACCAACTCCAAGTTCCAACTGTTTTGTCACCCTTTGAGTTCAGAACTTGTGGCGGGAGTGAAATGAGCAATGCAACCCGAAGTTGGAGGCTACTCGAAATAGGAGAAACAGCAGACTCGAGATGGAAGGAATTGAGAGATTGAATCTTTCATCTAGCCAAAGTGTAAAGAAAAAGAGAGTAATTTGAATGGTATCTTTTTTGATTTTCATACCTCGGATTTGGATCCATCTTCAGAAGTTCATCAAACAATGGATGAATCAATTCGTTATCTTCGTTTAATTTACAGGCTTCAGTAGGTGGGGAACGCAGACGTAGGTGCATGTATGGACACGGTGGACCTCGTCAAGACCTTGCAAATGTCTCAATATCACAAAGCCAACGATAGGCAAGGGACCATATATTGGCCTGTTCAACAATGAAGTAATATAAAATCCGGGGATCTAAATCTACCCCATAACAAGAGGAACTCGAAGGAGATATGAGCATCATCGTGTCTCTCAGCGTCTTCTTATATACACCTTCTCAATTACATCAGTAGCCACAACATCGACATCATCCAAAGACCCGCGTGGTCCATCTCTCACACCATCTAAATTGAAGCTGGATTCGCCAGATTAGGAATCATGTCTCATAAATCGAAGGATTCCGACAGTGTGGAAGACATCTCTCAATTTATTGGAGAACACTTCTCATGTGAGCCACAGCGACCCCAAGAAGCATTGAGTTTCCACTAGATCGAGCCCATCAATCACTCCAATGGAAAATGAGATCTGCTGCTTTGAGCTGCTGTGTTGCAGCGGGTGTGCGGTGTCAACATATGCCAAAGCATCACATTCTTTGGCTAAAGTTCTGCCAATTATGCAGAGAGTTTAGACGGCATGAGTTTAGCACCCCAGCTTGCACAGCAGGAGCATTGAAGATCAAACTGGCAATCTTTCCGATCATTAAAGTTTCATATTTGTACTTCCGACGTAGATCCCGAATCACGGCCTGCACATATTTATTGATAATGCGTTTCGGGTGTAAGGCTGGCTTGACAGGATCGAGCCGAGTTTAAGTCATCATCAGCCCCGAATACACCACTCGTTCAGCTCAAGGAGAAGAACGCAATATTGAATTCGAAGCTGAAGTACCTGTTATCACGTGTCTACCTTATGCTTTGATCTCTTTTGGGTCTTGGGCTGCTTTCAAGTATGTCGGGTGCTTGAAGAGAAGACTGAGGGAAATCCAGTTAATTTTCATAAATACTCACGTTCGATCTTTCTTGAGTACGTTAATAAATCTGATTACTCCGTGAAGTCACGTGTTATATTTGCTATCATTTGATACACAAATATAGATAGCTGGGAAACTTCCAACTGAGTTTGGGTTCCAAACTCGATATAAAGCAATCATACCAAGTGATGCTTTATAAATACACACTACACATCAACACAGAGGACCTTACCATCCATCATATTGATCACATAACACTGTCAGTTAACATACATCCATTTTCTAGATGCATTTCCAGTATTTTGGATTCTCTTATCAAAGTCGTTCTATCACTACCCCATGCCAATCTCAAAATAAACTGTGTCATGGGGATAAGGATATCGAGATGAAGTTGCAGATACAATAGTGCAACTTGACATCACGGCCGTTTCGGAATCCTATACTGTTTATTCTGTATTGGTTTTGTCCTTCTGGGGTCTGAAGTGGTATGTTCATGGATATTTTCTTCCCCTTCTAATCTCTAATCAGGCAGCTTTCAAGGACACTTCTGAGGTAGCGCCATCTGTAAAGATAGGATGGGTAGGTATAATCAGGACTAAAGCCCTCAAGACTTTGCGACCGCCGACATGCTAGTGGGTTTACTTGGTTCCTCCTTCCTCTAGCCTTCCTGTTTGCCTCTTTCCCTCTTTGATCTACTCTTCGTCTAAATCACCCTAAAAGAAACTATTGGTCGAGTATCGTGAGTTCGTCCACAACCAGTCTTCATTGATATTCGCAGTTGCTTCTACTACGGTAGGCGTCGACCGATAAATAGATATAGCTTTACTTATTGCCTCGCGAGCATCAACAGACCAAATATATACTCTGTCTTTCAGCACTTATTGCATTTTTTGAACGACAAGAATGACCAAATTAAAGAAGTCTCTAGCAAGTCAGCCACGAAAGTCGACATCTCTTACCACATTCACCTTATTTCTAAAGCTTTTCCCAGAACTTTGATCGATGATCTTAGAGCTGGCGATCTTCAACGATCCAAGAAACATCATTATTGGGGAACATCTGCTATGGGAGAAACGAGAAGGCCACCCAAGATGGAGCGAAGACTTCGGATATAAGTGCACAAGCACTTTACCTGCGGTCCTTCAAACTTGCATGGAAGCTCGCAATGAAGGATTGAAGTATTACAAGCTGTTGGAGTGGGCTCCGGAAATTTGAAAGGAACACGCGCGATTGATTAAAGTACCTGAACATCCGGCCAGAACGTACATAAACTGGAAAGTTGACAGGATCGTCATAGAGTACGCCTCGGATTTTTGGTGCCATAGTTTGCGTATCCGTGATCATGAGAATGGAAAGGTAAGATTACATAACTTCAGGAAACTCCATGATGATGACCGGAGTGCTGCATACGATCTTGCCCAGAAATTAATCAAAAATGGCGTGAAGTTTTTGGCGGTCGACACGAGAAATGATTCGGATAAAATTGAATCCTTTTTCGAGAGCGTCTATCCCTGGGGATGTCCGGTAGAAGAACTAATCTTCTTTAGTTATGGAAAGCCGACATTTAACTCTGAATCACACCGAGTCTGGGGGCCTAGACACGTTTTGCCGTGGAGTACTTTACGTCAACCAAAAGTACGAGATTCTTCGAAGGAGCCCACGTTAGCCTACAAATTTATAGTTTCCCGTTTCAAATTACATGCCAATGGACGAGGCGTCATGTTCCCCAAGATGGGGGAATCTTGCAGACGACTGAACAAGCAATGCCGAGACTTGTAGCACCAATAGGGCGCAGAGGTACAGATCTGTCTGGACGACTCTTTTCACAGTTCCGGAAAATCATTCGCCGATCGCGCATTAATGAGGGGCGATAATGTTCTGGTGGAAAGCAGGATCAAAGCGATTTCGATGGACAATGGGTCTTTAGCGTAGCATGCAGATTAGTTTGGATAATGATATTACAATATCAAAAGGACAGAACGTGAAGACTCGATTCAATATGTAAGTGACTATGTTTTTAATACCACAATGGTGACATTGATCACAACCAAAAGAGGTGCAATTTTAGAACTACCGAAAAAGCAGTCGATGGATTTCTTATTCCATTTCTTGGAGTATTTATTTGGACACCAACAAAACATTACGAATCATGGCTGGATCGTTAGATCAACAAAACCATTGCAGGGAAGAATTCAATGGATAACGCTGATATTTTAGATGGCGTAGAAATAGCTATTACATTGCTGAAATCCCCTCACTGTGAGATTTATCATGTCAATGTTTGATTAAAGTATTGGTTGCTTGAAGTGGTTGAGAGGACATATATCAAATTGCTATCCTCTCTAACAAACTATCCCCCCCCAAACCCCCCAAACCCAAAAAGACACCCTAGAAATTTTACCGAACGCACTAAGTCGCCACCACCTAACCTTCCCTCACAATTCCCACGATTCCCTACCCCAGAACTCTTTGATACAAAAACGTGATATCTTCTCCTCATAAATCATTCCTACATCTCTATAAAATAATGCCCCTTCACCTCAAAGTATCAAAAAGAAAGAAATGACCATTCCCACCTCTTACAATGGGGTCGCTACTCCAAGCAATCCCGCCTTGGAAATAAAGTCTGTCAATTACTCACTCACCTATCCCTCAATCTCCCCCCTCTCTGAATCAAGAATAACATACTAGATAAATAACTAACTAACTAACCAACCAACTGTCTCAGCCCTCTCACCCTCTTCGATATCGCAAAGAATGAAAATAGACCACTCTATACTTGTGCGCCTATGGTGCGGTATAGTAAAGTATGGAATTTCTGTTCTGTTTGGTTTGGTTTGTTTTGTTCTGTTACTAGATCGCGACTAATGAGATAATCCTGTAGCTAGCTTTTCGAGAAACGGTCGCTCGGTATGGAGTGGATCTTTGTTGGACTCCGATGGTATGTTATGTTTTTTTTTTTTTTTTTTTTTTTTGGATGGGATGAAGAATGGGGATGAGGAGATGAGGACATGGGGATGAGGGATGAGGGAATGAGGAGAGGGGATGCGGGATGAGAAGTGTGCTGATGAAATGAGTTGAGTGCAGATTTTGGCAAAAGAATTTAATCGCAGTGTTTTTGCACGTGATTCAGGTGAGCACGTGGTTTTTCTTTTATTGTGTTGTGTTTTGATGGAGTTGACAGTTGGTTCTGGGGGGGGGGGGGGGGGGGTCGAGTGTCGATTTGGGGGTGAGGATTCTTGCTAGGTGAAGGAGTTGGGGTGTATCTATTTGATCGTGGTTGGATCGAGATTGGTGAGTATCAATCAGCGGCAACAGAGAAGTCTTTGTTCATAGTTGCGATATCGTATGGAATCCTGTTGCTAGCATGTATGGCGATAAGATCGCAGAGAAGCAATATGAATTCCATTGCATACAAAATCCCATCGAGATGTGCTCGTATACACATTTGCATATCCTCCAACAGCAAAGTTGCATGCATCCAGCCCAATTCTGATACACAACCCCAACACCCAGTTTTCCCCTCTTTCCCCCAACCTCTTTCCACCATCTCCCACACACTAACGTCCACCCCTAGACTTCACCACCTCCCCCACCTCCGGCCCCACCATCGCCCAATTCGGCGTGTGTTCTCCCCTCGAAATCTCCCGCTCCACCACTCTCCTCGCCCCCTACGTAAACGGCATCGATATCAATTGCGGATGCCCACAATCCTGGGCCTGCGCCTGTTCCATCGGCGCCGCACTAATGCACAAGCGCGAACTGGTTGCGGAAATGGTCAAGGAAGCGAAAAGTGCGTTGAAGAGAGATGGATACGAGGGAAAGAAAACAGTTAGCGTGAAGATTAGGATTCATCGAGATTTACGGTATGTGTTTTTCGTTTGCTTAGTTTGAATCGATTTGATTTGAAGGAGAGGAAAAGAGAGGAAAGGAAGTGGGAAATCATGAATAGCTAACACAAGATAGAGAAACAATCGATTTCATCCAAACCGTCCAAGACGCCGGCGTAGACTTCCTCACCATCCACGGCCGCATGCGCTCAACCCCCTCCTCCCACCCCGTAAACCTCGACGCCATAAAACTCCTCACAACACACGCTACAGTCCCTACCCTCTCCAACGGCGATACATTCACCCTCGCAGACGCCTTCCATCATACCTCCTACACCGGCGTCTCGGGCGTCATGTCCGCGCGCGGACTTCTCGAGAATCCAGCACTTTTCGCAGGCTATACATCTACACCCTGGGAATGCGTCGATGTTTTCATAAATCAGGTGATTAAACAACCTATACCGTTTAAATTGGTGGTGCATCATCTGAGCGAAATGTGCGGCACGGATCGTTCGCAGAATGGAGGGAATAATGGATTGTTGGGGAAGGAGGAGAGGTTGAGATTGATGGAGTGTAGGGATATGCTGGATGTGATTGATTTGATGGATGAGGTGAAGGGGTTGCGGAGATTATAGATTTATAGATTCAGAGATGGGGTTTTGTAGAGAGATAGATATGATGGATGGATATTCAAGCTTTAAAAGGGCCTTCATTTTTTCCTTTCTTTCTCAATTTTATAACATGTATTCCATTCATTATATTCTACAACCACAAGATATATTGCGGAGTATCGACTGATCTGTTTGTCTGAGTTTTTAGATACAAGAAGAGCTAAAGAGAAAAACGGTAAACTAGAAAGAAAGAAAAAAATAGAGGAAGAAAAAAAAAACAATAAGCAAAACGCAAAGTCGAACGCCACGGGTATCTTTACAAAACCATATCAAACAGTATCTTCATCCAACTCCCCATTTCATAAATTGTCCTGTCCTTTCCTTTGTAGCCTATAATGACACCCAAGATCGAAAAAGTATCCTCCATACTCCAGAAACGTTCTTCATATGTGCGGATCATTATTAAGTTAACAAGCTCGCAATATTCAAGCCGATCTCGTCGATTTCTCCCTCGCAAACTCTCGTCTCTTATCAGAAGAACCGCCCCTGTCCCCACGTCCCCTACTTCCCCCCATTCTAGTACCATCTCTCGCGCGACCTCTCTCCTTCTCTCTCATATACGCATTCTTATACTCCGTCTTGGGCTTCTCAGTATAACTATCTGGCGCCCAATTCCTCGAATCCGCACCCTGATGACCATCTGGAAATGATGCATTGACCGGCATAGTTCCACCCTGACAACCGTATTGTCCCCTCTCGTGTGCAAATCGTAGACCTTCCATCAAAACTCTCCATCGCCATTCGGTATTGATCTCTGCGAGAGAAGGTTGATCCTGGTTGGGAGCGCAAGGTGTGATTCCGTTAACTGCAAATCCGGTTTTCCAGTCTTTGGCGCATCCCCAGGAGTGGAAGCGGGTTATGGTGCACTTGGGGACGGGACAATAGTGGTTGGATACTGTGGGATAAGGTGCGGAGTCCAATGTTGAGTTGGATGCCGCGTTGGATACTGAGTGGATACGGAAAAAAGAGAGGGAATGGAGACAGGTACCTGGGATATGTACGTATGGACACTGTTGAGATTGATTGATCGGGGGTTCTCGGGGTGGGTAGTTCCAAGGCCAGTCGCTGAGAGGGGGTGGTCGATATGAGCAACCGTTCTCACTTGTGAAATCTGGGCAGATGCGCTGGAGCATACAATTTGGCATTGGGCATTGGAAGTCGGAAGAAGACAAAGAAGAAGGGCATATATGGCGGTGAGTTCGTGGAAGCTGCAATTCAACTCTCTTGATATCATCTGCTGCGGCTGTTGCAGGAATAAAGTTTTTCAACAATACCTTCTGTGCGTAGGCTTGTTGTTGTTGAAAGGTTGCTTGAACGTTGAAGACCTTTCTTCGAGGACTGGTGTTTGTGCTTGTAGCTTTGAGCGAAGTGTTTGCAGACAATTGTCTAGTCGGTGAGCTAGGAGTAGACTTATGATCCGTCTTTCCTGCAACAGGTATTCGTAGCACCGGTCTATCTGCCAACAATGAGTCAACATTCCCATCAGCTTCATCTTGATCTTCCACTGGAGTAGATGAATTTGGAGGATCCTGGATCATCTCTTCCTGTTGAATATCCGAATAACTTAGAGAATTTGACGAGAGCTGAGACGAAGCCATAAAGGATGGCGACGGTGCGTGCTGAAGAAATATTGGCATTGGTGGCTTCTGGTTGTATGCATCGAAATGACTGTAAGTATTAATTGAAATGTTTGAAGGGCGATGTGTCGACCAGGTTCTCGATCTGTTGAGAAATGGGTGAAATTTAACCTGTGTACGTTGAGCGCGACTTTGTTCTACCATAAAACCTGGCTGTTGAATAACGGAATATTTCAATGGGGGTGGGTTTTTTGTAGCAGGTGCTAATGCAAACAGAGGCATGGGAGGCCTGGGGTCTAAAGCCACAAATTTTGACGGAGCGAAAGGCTTCTGCAGGACATGATTAGCAGTTTTCTCTTCGGTAGACTTAGCAGATCAAAACTTACTGCGCCAGGGTTGAACTTGGTAGCTGGCTTTGAAGGTTCCATCTCTTTGACAGTGATAGCACGTTCCTTTTCAAGAGCCATTTGTGCCCCTCTGTCTGCTGCCTGCCTCATCTCTAATGCTAATTTGGCAACCCTTTCCCTCTCTGTTAGAATCTCAATTTGCCTCAAAGTGCTTAGATGGCTATCCATAATTGTTTTGATTTCTTGAGGTGGTGCACCCGTTGCTTTGCTCATGACAACAATGCCATGCATCATGTGCTTGATGGCGTGAATCACCCTATGTGGATCATTTACAACAACGTCCCATAAAGGTAAACCTCCTCTGATGTAAGAAGGAGTATCATGACGTTCTGCCTCGCATAGTTCTTCAACCTCTGTGTTTTTCGTCTTCATGGGTTCTGGTGAAGCGCTATAAATATCACTCTCTGACTTTCCTGCCACAGCTGGAAATTGGAATGGAGGAACTTCTCTTTGAGAAGGGCTTGATGTTTTTGTTGCGACGAAATCCGGAAAAGGCACGGCAGTCTCATTCTCGAATTCTTCTTCTTTCATCGCAGGAGTATCGTCTTCTCCATTTTGAGTAGGTGAATCCCAAGGTGTGTTGGCATCTTCTGCCTCAACAGCCGTTTCACTAGTTTCTGTAGATAGAACACTCATACATTCTGCTGTGTTGGGCGACAAAACTTGGATTTCTTTTTCGTCGACTGAATCATCTTTGGGGGATGTCATTTCTTTGGTGGGAGTAACAGGAAGAGGCGGAAGGGTAGATTGATTTATGGGTTGAGATCTTTTTGATACTTGCGAAGCAAATAATGATCCCCAATTAGGTGGGGTTGCGAAGGAGTTTTGTGTGGAAAGTTTTGGGTTGGATGAAAGTGCAGGGAATTCTTCAGTATTGTTTAATTGAAGCAAATTTATTGAAGGAAGACTTTCTTCGGTTGGTTCATTGTTCGGATCCATGGTGAATGAGCAGATTGTGTAGACGATGCAGTGGTTGTTCGGATCCAAGTGGACTGCAAATGAAAATGAATTAATTCTGTTTAGCATAAATGCATCAGTAATGTAACTGCCACAAACCTTTATTGATTCAAGAGAGTAAACGATGAAGATATAACATTTGATAGATGAATGTACAGACCGTATGGTAAAAGTAAATGCAATGCAAGTGATGGTGCGGTATTATATGATGTTAATTGTGAGTTGCACGTGCTCAATTGTCCAACAAACTCTCAATCTGCTGTATGATTTTCTATCTCGGTGGATGAAAGAGTATATCTAGGTCCATTGAGTCATTAGTAAAAGAATCCTTCCCTTTCAATGTCAACATTTATCATGGAAAAGTACTTGTGATAAGTGTCAAAAGTGAAGACATGGGATGAACATACACTTTCTCGAGTTTGCATTTCCTAATGTCTTTCAGTCCCCAAACTCGAGATGCAGTGAGCAATTCAAACTTACAACTATTTTTTACCTCCTGCTGAGAGCGACGACGATGTAAATAAAGAAAATAGCACTTATAGTAGACGAGACAATCATAAAGTTCGAAAGAATAGTGATTCACGGTCAAGATTGCTCCAACTTTCGAATTGCATATTGGGTTCTGAAAGAGTTTTGAATATATTAAGCTTTTGTTGACATGTAGAACATTGGATGATGGAAAGAAGTTTCCTGGCAATTCCGAGTATATGGTAGCTGTCTCAAGTGTTGAAGTTGGTGATGAGAATTGGTGATGGAAGAAAAGAAGATAGACCGAGAAGATTACATGATTTATTAAGATCAAAAGGGATTGAAATACTAAAAAAATACCGATTTCTTCCATTGGATATCCAAGCGAGCACCCAGATGGACAACAACAATAACAAAGTTGAGACGATACCACCTAAGTGACGTTAGGGCTTATGATCATACAAGGCAAAGAGATCAAAATCATGTTTGTGAATACAAATTACCTAATACAGATCATTCTAATGTCAACCATGAAAGCTTGTAGTCGATTGAATATGTTGACTAATAGGAAGCCAGCAAAAGCTTGTGTTGAACTGCGCATAAACCTGTGAAGCTTGATAATGGAGGAGCCTCTGAAGTGATGATATTGTGATTTGCTGTCAATGAGGAAGGCATAAAAGCATTGGTCAGCTGACATCAAACATGATAGCCTTGAACAATGGGGAAGAGAGTATAGAGGAAGGTCAGTAACCTTCTCAAAACATGGATGTCTAAGGATCCAGTATGTGTATAAGCAATGGATTATGAGCGAATCTATTGACATTCTATGATTGACTCCATTGTGACCTCCTCTTACTGTCTCACCGAAACTCAACATCCACAGCTTTCATACGGAAATCCATGATTTTCCTTTGTGCTCTCCATTCTCCTCTTTGGATGCTGAAATCGGGTCCACTTACCCATCGTATATTTACTCATGTTACCTATATTACTCACCATCAACTTCAATATCAAGGATACTTTCTCCTTCATAAGCGCTCTCTCGTCTGGCTCAAAGTTGTGGAGGCTTGCAAAGACTATTGCAAAAAGATGCAACATGGAGGGCTACCGTCCAATCACCACTTGGGATTGAGAAAAGATTCTCGTGTGAGCTTCCTGTCATTTGAAAAATGTCGTCTGAGGTGGAGACGAAATTCGCATACTGCTTAAATACATGGACCGTAGATCACGTCTAAGAGAATTGCGACACCTCACAGTCAGTAAGTTGAAATCATCTCATTCAGTAAAGTATCACATAAAATATCCGCAAGTAGGTCATGTATTGAAAGTAGTAATATGAAATAATATTCTTAGCATACAGCCCTTTCGAGCGATGAAATATTGTATAAATATGAAACGCCTTTTTCCTTCCCATCAAAACAATAAGCACCTATGCTTAAAAATTGTTTCCCAAAATTTATTGATCGTAAATTTCATACATGTCCCGAAACGGAACAAATTGAAAGTGCCCCAGAAGCTCGCAAATGCGATAATAGTAATGTTAAGAAAATTCGTTGTCTTCGTAAAAATACTCTATTCGATGGCGCTAGCAGAAGAATCGCCAACGACTGGGTTCATGGAATCGCTCCAGTTCATTCTGAAATCGTCACCCAATTGCTTTCTCAAAGCAGCCTGGACGGCTTCCAAAACGTTGTTGAAGACACCAAAGTTGGCTGGATTCTCCTCGTCGTTCTCACCACCTTGGAACACACCAGTGCGGACCAAGCAAGTGTTCCAGCCGTAGTTGTTACCGCCGATAATATCAGATGCTGGGTTATCACCAATCATGTAGATATTCTCTGGCAACTTCTCCTCTCCGTGGATAGTCTCCATCCATGATGCCATGACCTCATCGGCATACTTGTAGGTGGCCAATTCAGGCTTTCCGTAGACGACACGTTCGAGTTCAACTCCGGTGATGGATTTGTAAATAGCCTCGAGAGCGATACGGAAAGTACCTTGAGACATACGAGGAGTTGGGTGCTCGCTAGGGCACAAGAGATCTCCCTGGGAAAAGTAGATTGGGATACGTTGGGAGACAGGGTCCTTGGCACGAGTACCGAGAACACCATCTTCAGATTGAAGAAGATCCATGATAATTTGGAGATCGGTGGCATAGTCGCGGGAATCAGAGAAGACAAGGATAGCGTCAATCTTGACCTTGCTGAAATCTCTTGGAGTAGATGTAGCACGTTGCTCGGCGGTGAAGAACTCTTTGAGTGGGGAGATGGTAGGGATCGAGGCGACGATATCGTTTGGTACGACGATATCCTTGAATCCGTACAACTTGGCGACCTCTCGGCACTGGTAGTTCTCACCACCAACAACCAAGACAGTATCGTAATATTCAGCCAAAGCGGACATGGGAGTGTGGGATTGAATGAATTGTTCGGTGGCAACAGGGTTTCCGAGAATCTTGGAGAGCTGAGCACAACGAGTTGGCTCGACCTTTCCGGAACCGTTGGTCAAGAAAATGTGTGGGATCTTGATACCGAGCTCATTGTCGCCGTTCAAGATCTCCAATGCTCTCTTTCCTTCTGGGATCAAACGATCACCGTGGACGAGAACACCATCAATATCGAAAGCGAATGCCATGTTCTTTGCAGCTTCAGTCTTGATCTTGGACATGTCTTGGACTTGCGAAGAAAGGATCTCGCGGGTTGGTTGAATGGATGGCATTCCAGGTCTTGTTGGTCTGTCTTGGGTGACAACAGATGAGAGACGAGATTGACGCTTTGAACGGGGAATTGGAAGAGCAGCACCAAAGCTGTTTCTTGAACCTCTACGTCCATTGGCTCTGTTCTCAAGACTCAATGAATGCATGAGTGATTGAGTTTCTGCGACGGAGGACCTTGAAGCTGGAACCTCAATTGGTCCAGATTCATCATCGTCACCTGGGACCACCAGGCTGTGGTTGAAACCTGGAGCTGTTGAGCTCTTGCGTTCTGTTTGGGATGTGGAGGTTCCATTGGAGGCAGGCTGGGCTTGAGCAGCCAAATCGCTATCATCGAAACCAGGCATGGTGAAAGATAAGTTTAGAAGCTAAGGGTATAAGAGTTTGTTGTAGAAAAGAAGGTTATCTGTATATGGTGACGGTAGTGAAGAAGGATCAGAAGTACAAAGTTGAGAAGACGGATAGGGCGCGGGGGCACAGCGTATATATCTGAAATTCAGATTCTTGAAACCAAGCTAGAGAATGAGTAGGAACAACTTGTTAGGAACCGACCTTGTATTGATGCTGACGCCGAAGGAAGTGAGCTCATAGCACTGCATGATTGGATCCGTATTTGCAATGAAATGTCGTCTTCAACTTGCCGAAGAGCATGCACCAAGATCCACAATCATGATCCGTCAAAGTATGTTGAAACATGAATACCTGTACTTCGTATGTATCTTCAAAGCCGCCTTGGCCGGCGCGGAAAAGTTTTGTATCAAAAGCGGATCCCGTTGCCCTTATCCAGGCTGTCCTTGTCATGGGTGGAATCACGTCTGCGAATGAAGTCTGATAGTTTTCCAATTTTGAAAATTTGTGCTTCAGATAAGGCAATAATGTGGGTTCATCGGATAACCTAGCAGAGGGAAGGCTGCGAAAGTTTGTATTCATGAATTGCGTTTGGGTGGATAAGTTGTCAAGGGAAAGGGATCCAGCATGACGTCTGAGGGACCACATTAAAGAATGTGAGGTGAGAATAGACACACCGTGGTATGTCCGATTAGCTGATTATGTATACACACACGGCGGGTAGTTTCTAAAACGGTAAGGGATCGATCCATATTTCTTCTGTGTGCTTCATTGACTCTTACCATATCTTACTCATGCGATGTCGATCACCATTGCAGGATAGCTCATGAAGATTTGGCAGGAGAGCGAGGTCTTCCAAATTGACTGATGCGTTGGCTGTTCTTGTTGTTCTTGTTGTTCTTTCATTTCTTTGTTGTCTTGCTTGAATCGACCAGGAAGCCGAGTTTGAAGCAGTATGCTGGTATCATATGGATGTCCGATATTATGCTTCAGATGATATTATATTGCACCCGTTGTGCGTGAGGGTGAGGGTGAGGGTGAGGATGAGGATATATGTCCTGGTCCCGGGGCTTGATTTAGTTGATGAAGGGGCGGAAATAAGGTTTACAAGTGTCTTGGCCCATGCTCGGATAAACTATTATTCGACTTAGTAAGCAACATCTCATCAGAGCTTCCAAGCAAATCAAGAAAAAATCAAATGAAAATTTGGTCCGATCTCTCAAGCCTTGCATATCTGGGTCTGGGTATTTTTTTCTTCCCGAAGATTTCCAAACTGCCACAGCCTTGACTAGCCTTGGTAGCCTTTTGAACCCGACAGTTATATTCTCCCACATGTCGTCTCTTATTAGACAGGAATGCGGCAAGGAAGAAGAAGAAGAAGAAGAAGAAAAAGGGAATCCTTCCCAGGGGCTTTTCCTTCATACCGGCATCGATCGATCTACGGCCCTTTTACTGCATTTGCTACAACTTCCACTATACATTTACTCTTGCCAAGCAGCCCAAATAACAGCAGCAGTCACAACCCTCTTATTACGTTTACTCCTTCATCATTGATAATTTCAATTCCACTCGGACGCTTTGCTCGATATCTATTTGTCGGTTTATACTTCCTTCCCATAATTGTGCCCACCACCATTACATCCACTCTTAGGACCCTGACTCAAGTGGGTTTTACATGACTTAGCACAATTTAGAACGAAACCTTATGAGGGGCATGAAGGAGGATGAATCCGCATGATACGTCATTTTCTGTTACGTTGAGACGAAACACCATATGCAATCAAATCATCGTTCGCGAGTAAGAGAAATCATGCAGAGTTCGTGCCATGACTAGAAGCTTCTGTTGATACACATTTACTTACATATTTCAACGGAGCTTGCCTAGGAAAACATACAATTATTGCATCCCACCCTTTTCTAAAAACAACCTTATAGAATTTTTTCACTTTCGAATTATACCCCGCTTCTTGACCCCTCCAATACAATTCAGAATAATACGCACAATTTTTACAATATGGCAGCACCGGCGGTTACAGGTCCTTTGATCAAGCTGAACAATGGAGTTCAAATGCCAGCTTTTGGCTTCGGCACATTTGCTAGTGAGGGTAGCGTAGGAGAGACACACAAAGCCGTCGTAGCAGCGTTGAACGCAGGATACAGACATTTGGACTGTGCTTGGTTCTACCAGAATGAGAACGAAGTCGGAACAGCTGTTAAGGAGTTCCTTGCTGCAAACCCAAGTGTGAAGAGATCCGACATTTTCATTGTCACAAAAGTCTGGAATCACCTCCACGAGCCTGAAGACGTCGAATGGAGCTTGAAGAACTCATTAGAGAAGCTTCAAACCCCATACATTGATGCATTCTTGGTACATTGGCCAATTGCTGCAGAGAAGAACGAGGACAGATCAGTAAAGATCGGTGCTGATGGAAAGGTAAGCACCGCACTGCATTTAATGACAACTGCAAGACCAGAATTCTAACATTCAAATAGTATGTCATCAAGAAAGATTTGACCGAAAACCCAGAGCCAACATGGAGAGCAATGGAGAAGTTATACAAGGAGGGACTCGCAAAGGCAATCGGTGTCTCAAATTGGACCGAGAAAGGAATTGAGCAGCTTTTGGCATTCGCTGAGGTCAAGCCAACAATCAACCAAATCGAGATCCATCCTTTCCTCCCACAACAAAAGCTCATCGACTACTGCCTTTCCAAGGAAATTGTACCAGTCGCCTACTCTCCATTGGGAAGCCAAGACCAAGTTCCTGGTACTGGTGAGAAGGTATCTACCAACAAAGACCTCAATGCAATTGCAGAGAAGAATGGTGCTTCGCTGGCACAGATATTGATCGCATGGGGATTGAAGAGAGGTTATGCTGTTTTACCCAAGAGTAGCAACCCAGGAAGAATCGCAGGTAACGCGAAATTGATCACTCTCAGTGAAGAAGATTTCGCGGCTGTCAACAAGGTCGCAGAGGGCAGAGCGACTAGATTCGTAAACATGAAGGATACCTTCGGTTACAACGTTTGGCCAGAAGAGAAGTAACTTGGGATTTGAGCTGGTCTCACATTAGGCGTCAGGATACCATTATGTGAGTTAACGATTGATAGAATGCCATGAAATGCAATGACGACTTTTTTTTCAATGCGTTCAATCTTTGGTTGTATCAAGACTTTTACTGAATATATGTGACTTGTATGGCATCTTTGAAGTCCCACATCAGTGTATGGGGGATTATTTTTCTACCGGATGGATGTGATAAATCTTACAAGATTAATGGTAAGGTTCCATCGACGGAAAGTAATTTTTTTTATCAAATTCGTACAATATCGATTTATTCTTTCAACAGAACGTACAGAAGGTGGGGTAAATTTAGATGAACCATTACCAAGTCACATTACTTGATCACGTGCTGATACCAAATTTGGCCTTGTACAACGCTCTTCGGGGTCAACGCTGCTGGTTCATTCTTACCTCTCGATTTTCAATGCTTCGTCTCAATGTTCTCGAGTTTTGCTTGCATATAATACTATCGCTTCATATCTAGTTCCCTCACCCGATGTCTACGAAAATCCCATCATTTTGGGCCGAAACGGTTTCCATTGTCTACCATCATTCACATCTTGTTAAACACACACCCTTTTGGAAAATATCCCGGAGGTTGAGGTCGTTTGATTAGGTGAGAAGAAAGATTTAGTTGTCGGTGTACTTATCTTACATCTGAGGGGTATCTCTTTCATATCACGCCGTTAAAACTGACATGTACTCTTTCTCTAGCCACAAGGTGCATTTATCTCGTGGCTTATTCCTCACGGGGCTTGGGGACGTTTCGATTTCAAGCTCATAGATTGTTTCGAATTGCAGTAGTAGGTGCTCAGCTTTTATGCCTTCGATGCCTTCGATACGTACGTGCTAGTCTTGGATACACGTACTACTTCCATCCTGTCACCAAGTGGACAATTCTACGATTTTCTGTCATCATAGAGTTTGGGAACAATGCTATCTCGGAGTGCTTCATTTGCTATTTCTGTACTCTTATTGGATCCATATGACTGAGATCATAGTACCTACGCCTCGATGATTATAGTAACCCACTCATCTCAAAGAATGATAGAGGATATACAGATGATAATTGGAGAACTTCTACAGAGACTGTGTGCTACAAACATGGCTTTTTATTGTACTAACTTGGCGCTGGCACTGGTAAGATACATGCGTTTATGTATATTTCTTCGCCTAATATCTATCTCTATATCAAAGCATGTATTTTGGCCCTGTCATGAGTTCATTCTGTCATGCTCGAGAAGTGTTGAAGGGTTGAAGCTCATCGTATTTTTGATAGGGGAAAGGCTTCGAGATAACGCTGCGTGCTTGTGGATGTGGTGGGTGTGAAAAGACTTCTTGATACCAGTTTGCATATTAGATGCTAAGGCAATATATCCGTTTTCAAGTTAATTGTCGTGGCGGGTTATTCCTCTGTGTGTCTTGGATCTCGTTTTTTTGTACAGAAACTCTATCTTTGGCTTGATCACGTCCTTCAGTCATTATTTGGGCCTTTTGTATTTTTAGAGTACTAGTTCATCGTTAAGGGATATACCGCAGAGCCCGGAAATCTAGATGTCAGCCTTCTTGGTCCTTCATGCAACCTCTTATTTCCCTAAGGGGATGATGGAGCAAGATTCTAGTGTAACATTGGTAGTCCAAAAAATTGCAGTGGTATGGCCTTTCAAGTGTTCTAGGAAATTGACGACAGGTACTCAGGCAATATCAAGAAAATCACTTTACGCAGTGGTTCGAGTCAAACATACATTCCAAGTTCTGGACAGTAAACCGATAACCTTAAACATCATCTATTCTATTCACCAACTCGCACGTTAACATGTAATTACTCTTCCAAGTCGTTGTCATCTGTTGGTCAGACATTTGATTCTGCTGATTTCTCTACTTTCTCAAGCTTAAACATTTTGCCTGTGGTGACAGAGAATACTCTTTCCAGAGTTTCATTTCAAGCGACCCTACTCGCTGACGCTTTCCCCGACCACACAGCTTCCGCTCACAATCATTCAAACCGTACTTTTGCCACTATTTCAACCATCGCCTTCCACACGAGTTCACCATCACTAACCAACCTTGAGAGCACACCATGCCCCTTGTCCTCACTCCCAAACTCTTCTATATTCAGTAGATACCACAATGCAACTTAAAATTTATCGTTGCCACTTTATACATCTATTTCTATCCCCTCTTCTTATCTTCCGACCTCCATTCCCTCCACATCCTGTCTACACAGTATTTAAGCCGACACTACCACCACCACATTAATCCCATGCGCAACCTTGCATCCCACTTCCCCTAGAACTGGTATCTCAGCCGGTATCCTAGTCGCTATAGTGGGGCTTCCTTGTTTTCTCGGCATGGCTTTCTTGTTTTGTAGCAAGATGATAATTCTACTGAAATATCAAGTTGGGAGAGATGATGAACAAGGAAAAAAGTGTCGAGGGTGATGGAAAGAGAAAATAGAGAGCCGGGAGAGGGAGTAGAAAATAGAAATTGTGGATGCGGATGGATGAGGTATGAAATGGAGGGAGTAGGAAGACCTTCAGAAATAGAACCGGGATTGTATCATGGGGCGTTGATTAGGTATGAGATGTGTGCTGGATAAGTAGTTGATGGTATGATCATTCGGGAAGGAGTTTGTGGATAGATGGACAATGGATCGGTTGTTGCGAATAGGAATCAATGGGGGGGGGAGGGGTTAAAGGGGATAAAAGATGAAGAACATATTTTATTTGGAATTCCAAATTTTACATTGCGTGCTTTTGATATTACATAGTAGTGCTCATCATCATCACATATATGATACAAAACTACAACTATCTATCCCGATTCCCAAGCATCTGAAAATAACTAAACAGCTACCGGTACCGTAGATAGGTACCCTTCCCAGAGTCCAATCCCACCATTCCCACATACTAGATCTCTCACAACCCATTTTCCTACAGCACATCACATCATAAGATAAACACCATCCAAAGTTCAAACTATCACACATCTTCTATCTGCCCACACAGCCCCGAATTGAACATCCATCTATGATTTTCATTGCAGAATCCTCATCTTACCACCCCAGTACTCAAGATTCAAGACTCGCAACAAACGTACCCTCGGTCCCTTGATGATCATCGGATTTCTTTGATGCCCTATCTCTTGATGCGCATACAGAATACAGAAAGAATACAAATAGACTTCATCACAAATCAGATCTTAATCCATCTATCAAGACACAAATCCATAACACCAATTCAAGACCACGGTCCTGCCAACCCACTTCCTCTCTATCCTCAAGACTGACATACTAGGTTTTCCTGGAATATATACATCGAACTTGCAATTTGCAATTAGCAATTTAATATTTGAATAGGGGATGCAATGGAATGTGAATATTGCAATCGTTCTCTCGATTCTCGCGATAGAAAGTTTAAGTATGTTTATGATTTACAATTCGTCCCTTTTGTATGATCTTCAGAAGCTCTCACCATACAGCAGAAACGACCTATATGTGATCGTCTGATGAATTGAGGTTGTTCAAGTTCATTGCCCCAGCGCAAGCCTCAAGGTAAGATACTCCCGTCCAAAGGCATGTCCCCCATTGTTATCCAGTCCATCTCTCAAGTTTTGATTTCTGATACTTTTCGGGGAACAGTATTAGTACTAACTTTTGTTGACGAGACCGCCGATATAGTCATAATTAGATTTAAAGCTGTGTATAAGCTGTGTTACGTGATAGGAAATATAGATTATATTAAAAAATATACAACATCACATATTCTCTTGCATTGATTGGACCACTTATTTATTGTTGAAAACTGCGTACTCATTAAGTCATATTTGTCTGCAACGACTATGTGGTGTGTATCTATTCATTTTCTCATGTGAGATATAAAACGAAGGTCCAATGAATCAACCAATTGCGCATCAAGGGAATCTGTTAACTACTAATTGCATTGTTGTTTATTGAGGAGCACCGCGTCCAGCACCTGCACCTCTTCCTGCTCCACCTAAGTTTCTGGCCCTGTTGGTGATGTTAGAGACGAATCAAAAGAGGATGACTATCCGGGAAGGAAATACTTACATCTCAGCAATAGAAGGATCATTCATCAAGCTTGAAAGATCAGGCATTCCACCTCCATTACCCCCAGCACCAGCACCACCTCCACCCGCACCAAATTGATTGGCCATCTCGCGTATTCTAGGATTGCTCATGAGGTTGTTCAAAGCATCTGGGTTACTCATAAGGTTTTGAGCCATGCTTGCAAACATTGGGTTGCTCATGATAGAGCTCAAATCTGGCATTCCACCTCCACCTCCTCCAGCTCCGCCACCGAACATACCTGCCAAACTGGCCAAATCTGGCATCCCACCAGCACCACCACCACCACCGGGCGCGCCTCTCTCAGCAACCTCATCATCTTCTCCCGTAGCATCTAGTTCCTGCACTCTCTTCTTTGCAGTCTCGAATCCCTTCTTCATTGCATCCGATCCTCCATTTCCTTCATACTCAATACCCTGCTCATAAGCCTCCATTGCACCTCTTGCATCCCCCAATGCGAACTTTGCAAGTCCCAATCTCGACCAGGCTTTAGTATATTTAGGGTCCGCATCAACCGCAGCCTCCGCATCCGCCTTTGCAGATTCGTGATCCTTTGATGCCGAATAGGCAGCAGCACGATTGCTCAAGAAAATTGGGTTGCCAGGGATAACAGCCAAAGCTTGCGAATACAAATCGATTGCCTTTTTATAATCTTTCTTAGCCATAGCTGCATTTCCTTGACTTTTTAAACCCTCTGCTTCTTTCTTCTCATCTGCGGTTGGTTCTTTGCCAGTGGGCTTCTCATCGGCGGGTTTAGGAGGAGCGGCGGCGGCTTGGGATTTTCTCAGACTCTCATAGACACTGTAGATTTGGAGGAGATTTTGGGTATCTTTGGGAGTGCCATCTGTAGGATCGACTTTGAAAGACTCGGAAATACAGTTCTGGGCGATTTCGATGGATTCGCGTTCTTCTTCGTTAAGAGTACCGTCGGTGAGAGAGGTGGAGAGGAAGTCAATGATGGAGAGGGCGAGACGTTGTTTAGTGGTCGCCATGGTGGGCAAACT